CTGGGGGCCGGCGTGGGGGTGGGGCGGCGCAGGAACCCGCCGCGCCCTCTCGGCGCACCCTCCCCCCAGGCCTGGACTGGAAATCTGGGCCCTCCAGTCCCACCCAGCGCCCAGGGGCTGCGCCGGCGCGGGCTTTGCTCCCTGCATTTCGAGGTGCTGGTGCTTGTGGGCGGGGGGGATGCCGCCGGGGGAGAGGGGGAGCATGCATTTCTTTATTCTGCGGCCTCTCAAAGGCAGAAGGAGCAAACCATCCCTTGTTCTGACGATCCCCCGGCTGCAGGAATGAGGGGAGTGTCACCCCGAGATTATACCAGCTCTCCATGGCGTGTCCTCACAGCCCCGGACAGAGGCACCGAGGACGAGGACGTTGGTTTAGGAAAAATCTCCCAACGTCTGCACCCCCACTCCTTTCCGCCCCGCCCCCGGCGGTATAGGGTTTCACTCCAGGGCCACCCAAATGGTCCCCCAATCCGGCCCCAACCTCCCAGGTTTCCGCCTCCCTCTCCTAGTGGGCGCTGCTGTCTCCTGAGCACACGCAGGTTTTTTTTTTTTTCTTTAATTTTTTTTTTTTTTCAATCAAGCGTCGCCCGGCCCGTATGAGCGGCTGCAAATGTACATAACGGGAGTTGGTACCTATTACGAATCAGCCCAGAAAAGGTGTATTCCGTCCATAACGAGTATTTTTTTTTTTTGCGTGTGTGTGTATAACTAAAACTTGCCAGTACAACTAGGAAATGGGTTCAAAAATTGAGTTTGATTTCTTTTTTAAAATGAAAAGATGTATGGATTTTTAAATTTTATTTTAATTTTTTTGATACATGGAGTTTTGATGTCTAGTACCGTTGCTGAACGGATCGTTAATGGGTGTTTCCTCCCTCCCCTCCCCGTTTATGAGTAGACATCACAGTTTAAAAAATGGTAGGCAATTAAAATTATGCTTTAGAGATCTCAAATGGCTTTGTCTGTAGGACCAAATGCAAAGCTTTTGAGGGAAATTAGCACCTTTTGCCTTGAATTGAAAGAGTAATTATCAATTCATCTGTTGCTTAAGTGACATATTTTTACCATTACAAGGTTGGCTAAACGGAAAGATGATTCTGGTGTTAAGTGTAAGCCAAAGAAAACACAGATTTACATCTAGATAGTACTTGGAGCGGTTAGACAATGTTGATGCGAAAAGCTGGGTCAGGTAGCCGGCATCAGTGTAGATCAAATGTTGGAAGGTTTGTAAAATGTGTTCCCCCTGAAGGACCCCTTCAAGTCATCAGAATGGGCAGCTGTCAACTGCAAAGCTTGCTTTTCACATGCCTGTCAATTTCATTGCATTTTCCAGGTTGTATGCATGCTGTGATTTGTGAAAAGACCCAGAATCTCTTAAAAAACCCTGCCATATAAACATTTTTGGGTTTAATTCCTAAATTCTGTAGCTGTCTCAGAAAGAACGTCTTGCTCAGCATAGGTGGATGTGGAGAAACGGTTAGAACTTTCTAGAAAACCACAGATACACGCTTAGAACTTACTATAAAACGGAAGTTTGCTCCTTTAGTCATTACATCTTATTCCCCCTCTTAAAAAAAAATCTGAATGATAGCTACACATTCCTTTGAGTCCTACTATGGTGTATTAAAGGTACAACTTCATCTTTTCCTCATGACCATCAGAGACTGTTTCTGACACTGATTCTGAGGCCGTTGAGGTTGAAGAGGTTGGTTCGTCCCCCCCCCCCATGAAATAACCGCTTCCAGCCTGTTCAAGTACTGTGTTGAATTTTGAAATAATTTTTCGGTCTCCCCATCCCCCCTCAGGAGTCAGGATCACGGCTCCTACTTTTTAAGCACTTCTACTTTCCTCAGAAGGAAATTTCTAATTTATGATGGACAGAAATTTGCCCAAATAATTTGAAACGTCTGTAAAACACAATACATGCGATGAAACAAAGACGGTAATAGCTGGCCCTAAGAACCAAGGCTTACGAGTGCTTTTGTCATACTAAATCCACTGCTGTGTTGGCTGTGACTCATAGACTCCACCTCCATCCGTTTATCATTGTTATGTGAGGACACCGCCGCCCTCTCTTTCCCTTTGCGTGTGTGGTGGGCAGGTAGATTCAAACTGGCAATCTCTCACTTTGGTCAGAGAAGGGAAAGGGAAATTTTTTTTTTTTTTTTATTAATAATGCTGGTTGTTCGCTGTCGAGTTGGAATGGACCCGTAGCTGATCCTCCAGAGGGTTTTCGAGGCAGTAAATCACCCAGGAGGAGACTGCCCATCTTCTCCCCCCAACCCCCCCAACACAGAGCTGCTGGTGGATTCCGACCATATGCCTTTTGGGCTTGCAGTACAGCTTCTTACCACTAGGCCACCAGACTGCTTAACTCTATCCGTGGTGGGAAACTTGTGAGACCCGAAAACCAAGACAGTTCCATCAGGTTTTACGATGTAAAGTTTACGATGCAAAGTTTATCACTGCATGGGTTTTCAGGAAGTGACTTGGACAGTTGGATGCTCAGAGGTGCTTTTGCTTGCCTTCTGACTCTTGAACTGGTTTGGTGGGTTAAGTAAGCGTTGGACTACTAACCCAAAGGTCAGTGGCTCAACTCCACCAAGCACTCCATTGGAGAACTATGTGGCAGTCAGCTTTCATAAAGATTTACAGCCTTAAAAAGCTGATGAGACAGGTATCCTCTGCTATAGGGACCTACGAGTGGGAATAAAACCCACAACAGTGAGTTTTCTCATTTTTGACCTTTTCTGGCTTAAGTGATGATTGGCTAACCTAACACTGAAGAAATTGTTGGTGGTATTTTTGATAATGAAAATGTCAAGGGAAAGGTCATGGTCTTTAAGACAAGGCTTTGTGATGACCTTAGGCTGCATTCTCCGTGGCATCTAGAATGCCAGGCGATAAAATCCATATGGAATTTTCTAGAATTATTGATCATCTTTTATTGGGTGCTGCATGAGCAATGTGATTTTCTTTTAAAACCATACAAATGAGAAGACTTAGAAGGTAGGTATTTTAATATTTGTTATTTGGTAGATAGTGCCAATTAAGTAATTACCCACAGCTTTTAATAGCACTGCTCTGGATCTGGAATTTTAATTAGCATATAATTACATTTTTATGGTATTCTACCACAAGGTAAGCGAAAAGGTAACGAGTCAAGTGCTTTTCTGAGATGGACACTTTCACTTTCTGTGAGGGACGTTTGCTTTCCCTCATTATTAGATAGAGACTTGTGTATATGAATCTTCATTCTTGAAACTCAAAAATGAGATTTCTAACTGCTTTTCAAGGAATGATAAAGCTGTGCATTTTGTTGCCCAGCTTTTCTTCATGCTTTGCAAATATAATAGGATTCACTGTATGCATGACACTCTGAAAGGATGGATTTGGAGAGAATCTTTAGCAATTTTCTAGTTCGTCTCTCCAGGGTTACACAGAAAGCATCCTAAATGGATGATAGATGGATCAGATGCTTTAAATCAAGATGAATCTTTTTGGGTTGGTCAGCACTCCCAAGGCCATGTTCATTGTCTCAGTTTTAATTTCGTCAAAGTGAGTATTGTAATAAACATGGAAAGAGACATTATTTAGCTTTTGGAGCCATGTTTTCCTTATGCAGTAGGGTCTCCCTTCGTTTGTTGAGTTTTGGCCCAAGTTTTCAGGAACTACTTGTTAATACCCAGGATAAAACAGACCTATTTTCTTTTTGGTTTTCTCAGACGGACTCAAAAAGTCTATTTACACACACACACACCCCACACACCAAATTAACTCTGACATTCTCTCAGATTTAGTCTTGATTAGCAGATTTGTGGTTTCAGTGTCTTATTTCTCAATTTCCTATAGCAAAGGAGGCATATTTTCTATGTATGTTTATTAGTACATGCTTGTCTTTATAAAGGATAAAATGCATTCAGTGCTTCCCAGAGATTTTCAGTATTTTGAAAAAATTGATTGATGGTAGTTTTCACTAAATTACACCTTTTAAAAATAGTCAATGGTTAACAGCCTTGATACGATGCCTTTACAAAATATATATGTAATGTACATAGTTTAAAGCAGTTTATTTTCCAGTTTGGAGAACATAAACACAAGGTGTTTGACAAAAAGCATTAAGTTTGAAACTCCTGCTTAGTTATTTTAAGGATATGTGATCATGTGGTAGTAAAAATACAAGTATTCTCATTAAAATTTGAAACCAATCATAAAAATAGTGTCATTTCTGTAGTAGAAGCGAAATAAAAGTCTTCTGGTAAGTCTTAGCATGTTCCCATTATATCAAGAAATGTTTCTGATAGTTAACATTTTCTTTCCTGGAATTCTTTGTTTTGTGGTTGATAATAGGAATTTTGAATTTGAAATTTAAGTCTCTTATTTAATGATGACACGTGTTCTGTATTCTTCTAATTCATAAAGAGGAGCAGAGGCTGGTTTGAGTTTTGCTTGAATTATTGTTATTTCTCCAGTTTTCACAATTTTGATTTCATCTATTTTGTTCCCCAGTTGATCCTTGAGTGTGTAGAGCTAGACTAATTATAAGCCCTGCTTCGTGATATACTCTCATCATTGGTCCATGCATGACACACATTAATTTAATTTAGTTAGTTAATTACATTTTTACTTCACTTGAGAACCCTGATGTTTTTTTTAGATCTTGGCTTTGCAATTTGATGATTTCTTTTCTTGGACTTGTAGAAAAGCACTTCTTCGTTTCAACTGAAACTTACTGGGAAAATGTCTAAAGCTGAAAAGGAAATGGATCCAGAATATGAGGAGAAAATGGTAAATACATTCTGGGGTACAAAGTGAACTCTGTAGTTAAGGCTTTATAGAGATTTCATGAAGGTAAAAAAAAAAAAAACCACTCCAAATGCATGTGTTTATGGGATGTAAAAGAGAAGAGTCGAGTTTGGAATTAGAAAGTGTTTCTAATCCAAGCCCCGGAAATGCAGTGGTTAAGCACTTGACTACTGGCCAAAAGGTATGTAGTTCGAACCCACCAGCCACTCTGCTGGAGAAGATTTTGCCATCTGCTCCAGCCAAGGTTCCAGCCCTGGAAACTCTAGAGGGCAGTACTGTGTTTGGCCCAATAAGGTCACAGTGGATCAGAATGAACTTGGTAACATTGGTTTATGTTTTTCTAAATAATCCATTGTCATAGATGGGTTGGAATTGGCTCATAGCCGACCCTCCATTGGGTTTTCAGAGGCGGTTAATCACACGAGAGATTGCCCATCCTTCTCCTGTGGAGCAGCTCTGGTGAATTTGAACCGAGGGCCTTCGGGATTGTGTGTGTGTGTGTGAATTTTTTTTTTTTTTGGTGGGGGGAGAGGAGTGGGACTGGAAACCAGATCTCAATTTCACTTTTTTCACTCCAAAGTCAGATTTTTTTTTCTTCCCTGTTTGTTTTTCTACCATATGAAAATATCTGTAGAAGTATCCATTTTGTTTTGTGACTTGCTTGCTCTGCCTTGTGTTGGATAAATGAATGAACACTGAGCCTACACATTCTCAAATATGTAACACAGCGTAACACTTTTGAGGAAGGGCTGATTGCTCAGTATATGATAATCTTGAATGTTAGAGCAGTATAACTGAAGAACTCTGGTGCCATGATATGTGTAGTGTGTTATGTGCTGGGCTGCTCACTGAAAGTTCACAGGTTCACATCCACCAATTACTTCTCAGGAGAAAGATGGGCAATTTCTTCATGATTTATAGCCCCATGAGTCTGAATGGCAGTGATCGAGGATTTGTTGTTGTTGCTGTTTTTGATGCATAAAGTTTTAGTTACAGTAATCTATATTTTAACATTAATGTTCATGTCTTTTTAAAAATCAGTGAACTTGATTAGCTGAGAAGTTAATTAAGTGAGAAGTTGAAGCTAGTTGGAGCTGATTTATTTCTCCCCAAAGTGGTTTTTATAGTAAATGAATAAGTATTCACATAAGCATTAAGTAGAGGAAAAAGTGTATTTTTTAGTTGTTGGTAACTGTTTCACAAAATTGTGGGACTTAATATTTAGGGCTCTTCTTGTATACATCAGGAAGCCTGGTGGTACAACATGTAAGTGCTCTACTGGCAGTTTGATTCCACGGGAGAAAAATTTGACTATCTACTCTGGTGGTTTAGGTAGGAATTGTGCTGCCAATCCAAAGGTATGTGGTTTGAATCCACCAGCTGCTCTGTGGAAGAAAGATGGGCAGTTTCCTTCCATGGGCTTTATTGCCTCTGAAAAGCCATTGAAGGGGCAGCTGTGAGTTAGTTCTGACTCACTGGTACACAAAAGTCACAACAACTCACATCAAAGTTACACCCTGAAACCCTGAGGGACAGTTCTGCTCTGTCAAATAGGGTCATTATGAGTCAAACTTAACTCCTAACAACAATGATAATGTTAACAGTTAGTGTTTAACAACTTTAAGAACAACATTCCAGTGAGGCTAACATGAAATGGAAAGTTTCTGGCTTCCTTCCAACCCCTGTTCTGAATATATTTGTCTAACTCTGGTATTTATGTTAATGAACTTGTCTGTAAGTTCTGGATGTTATTAATTACACATCCTTCATTAGCGATCAAAATTTCTGTACCCTGTGGTCAGAGAGCTACATGAAAGATATTCTTTCTATCTAGAATGATATGTATATCTTGATGTTTGAAGACTTCTGGTTAAAACCAGTTTTATTGAACTTACATGGTATAAGTTCTGTACACTTAAAATTGTGGAGAAATTATTATATATCAACTTTTAATAGTGAATGTATAGCAACTGCTTTATTATTAACTATACATATGTACATGCACAAGCTTGCATGCCTCTGTATCTATTTATTTTCTCAAAATCCTGTTCATTTTGAAGAGAAGCTTTACATATTACAGTGCAGGATATGATTTTCTAGATCACTATAATTGAAAAAGAGGTTTAGTATATATTACTGTGCAATTACATTGAGAATATTTTGAGAAAAGATGAAATTGCATTTTAAGATTTTAGTGATTGCTAACATTTTCGTGATTTCTTAGATTCAACTTAAAAATATATATCATAGTTAATAATTCGTGGTTCTCTTTTTAATATTATTTTGATGGTTTGTTTTGTTGCTTGAAAGAAAATCGTTATAGTTTGGAAAGAGCCTTTGTTTGCTTTTTGACTGCCAGCTCTCTAAAGAAGCATCCTTGTTATTTGGGCATTTACTAAATCTGTAGGATCACTTGGTTATTATTTGATAAAAACAATACCAAATTCTGCTACTTAATAGATATGGGATCTTGTGATAGTTACATATCTTCTTTGTGCCTCAGTTTTATGATTTGTAAAGTGGGGATGATATTAGTACCAACCACATACATAGATTCCTTAAGAGGATTTGCTATGTTCAGAGGGCTTAGAGTGACAGACAGTACAAAATGCTTATTTTAGCCAAAGTATTTATTAAATAAGCAAACATTGAGTAATTTTTTTCACCTTTTTGTTTATAAATTAGAAAGCAGATCGAGCTAAGAGATTTGAATTTCTACTGAAGCAGACAGAACTCTTTGCACATTTCATTCAGCCTGCAGCACAAAAATCTCCAACATCTCCTCTGAACATGAAATTGGGACGTCCTCGAATAAAGAAAGATGAAAAGCAGAGCTTAATTTCTGCTGGAGAGTATGTTTGCATCTATTTTCTCTTCTTTTCTTATTGTGCTTTGACTGAAAGTTCACAGAGTAATTGGTTTTCCATTCAGTCATCCATGCAGTTTGTTTTATGGCATTAATTACAGTCCCCACTTTGGAATAGCATCCTTCCCATTTCTTCCCTGTGGTTCTGATTTCCATTCATCCCTGTCCTATTCCTACCTGCCTTCTGAGCTTCTGAGCAAGTACTACCCTTTTGATCTTGTGTAGCTGATTGCTATAATGAATAAATACCTTCCTGCTATTATAATTTCTTATTTGGCTTAAAGTTGATCCATAAGGATGAATTTAATTCCAGCACACAGGTTTAATTAGCGCCAGACTTGGGGGCCCCCTCACAAACAAGGGTGTTTTTTGCAGCATTATTTGAAGTGGTAAAAACAAAACAAACCCCCCCAAAACACAACCACAAATCTGCCACCAGGGTGTTTCTTTCTCTTCTATTTTTCGTTCTTCCTCCCCCCCCCTCCACTCTCTTTACTCATGACTCTTTCACTCATCACTTACTCAGTATAACTTTGTATTTTAAAAGAATAAAATTACTGTCAGTGTAACCATGTTTTGGAAGCAATAAGTGTGTTTTTCTTACCAGAAGCCAATGAATAAAAATGTAGCTGGTTCTACCAAATTCCAAATAAGATCTTAGAAAACGAACTCTCTCTTCTCCAGAGATCTTAGTAACGCATGCTAACTTAATTGACACCTTGGCATTTGGACTACTTATGAAGATACTTCTTTTTCCCATCAGCTACCGCCACCGGCGCACAGAACAAGAAGAAGATGAAGAGCTACTGTCCGAAAGTAGGAAAATGTCTAATGTGTGCATTCGATTTGAGGTGTCACCTTCTTGTAAGTATTTGATCACTTTAGTGATTTTATTTTAGGAAAGCTTTTACTTGATTGCATTACATACCTGATTTTTTCTCCCCTTAGATGTGAAAGGAGGTCCACTAAGAGATTATCAGATTCGGGGACTAAATTGGTTGATCTCCCTGTATGAAAATGGAGTCAATGGTATTTTGGCTGATGAAATGGTAAGAACTTTGGGGCTACAAACACATTCTGCCTTTCTGGGTGTGCTGTCTTGAGGCATTCAGAATGATCCAGCATCTGACTTACTATTATAGGTTGTCTTACAATACAGTGTCTCAACAAAAATAGGCTGTCCTGAACTCCTGGTGATTGAGCTTCTACCTTTATACCAAGAAGGTTGGTAAAACACCTATCTGTGCGTAGTATGTGCCCAAGCCAAATTCTGAGTTTATGCTGTGACACTTAAAGTTCTCATGTTGTTGGTAGGTATACTCTAGTCGACTGTGACTCATAGTGACCCTATGAACAACTGACCTCGATCCTACCCTTTGCTGAGACTCCCTCACCATCTCTGATAGACTTGAGCCCATTGTTACAGTCATTATGTCAGTCCGTCTTGTTGAGGGGCTTGCTTCCTCTCTTTGTCTGACCTTTTCCAGTCTTTGCCCATCTGGTCCCTCCTGACAACATACTCAGAATACCTAAGAAGGAGTTTGACTCGCCATGCCTCTAAGGAGCATGCTGGTTACACTTCCTGTAGCACGGATGTGTTTGTTCTTTTGGCAGTCCATGGTATGTGCAGTAGTAGTCTCCAACACCAAGCTCAAAGGCATCACTTCTTCTTCAGTCATCTTTATTCATTGTTGAACTTTCAGATGTGAAAGTGAAGCTTTTAAAAAGGAAGCTTTTTTTGTAATTAAAAAAATAAATCAAATGACTAGTGATCCATCCATTTTTTAATGTAAATTTGAAGTGCTTGGCCTGACCTACCCTCCTGCTACCTGGACAAAACTTTATTATAAAGAAAGTGCAAGTGATGTATAGAGTGCGTCTCAACATCAAGGAAACAAAAATTCTCACTACTGGACCAATAGGCACCATCATGAAAAATGAGGAAAAGATTGAAACTGTCAATGATTTCATCTTACTTGGATCCACAGTCAGTACACTTTGTACCTGCAGTCAGGAGATCAGGAGACATATTGCACCTGGAAAGTCCGCAGTCAAGGACCTCTCCAAATCACTTAGGAGAAATGATGTTAGTTTGAGGACTAAGGTGCACCTGATTCTGAGACCTTGGTATTTTCATTTATTTGGTATGCATCTGAGAGCTTTACAGTGAATGAAGATGATGGAAGAAAAATCATTGATATGTGGAGAAGAATATTGAATATCTTATGGACTGCTAAAAGAACAAACAGATGTCTTGGAGAAACTGCAGCCAGAGTGTTCCCTAGAGGCAAGGAGGGCAAAGTTTCATCTTTTATACTTTGGGCATGCTACTAGGATAGGCTGTTTCTTGGAAAGGGACATCATGCTTGGAAAGGTGGAGGGACAATGGGCTTGAGTGTGTCAGAGATTGGCACAAGATAGGGCAGAGTTCAGATCTGTTCTTCGTAAGGTCACTGTGAGTTGTACTCGACTCCATGGCACTTAACAACAACAAGAAGAAGAGTGTATAGAATGGCTGTCGAATTTTGTGTTTGTGCTTTTTTTTTTTACGAAAAAAGAACTCAAGAACATAAAATTTTATGAGGCCTAAAATTCTTATTGATATTTCATTAAATGGTACCAAAAATCACTTTGACTTTTTTGTTTTCCTTTATATTTTGCCTTCTGGGAAGCTAACAGTCAAATGAAATGTCAAACTGGTGTGTCCACATTTTCCACAAGACAGTGGACATACCCATAAGGATCTACCCATTGTGTCTTTGCTTATTCTTTCTGATCTGACAGACTTTCCTTCTTGTTAGGTGCCATAGGGTTCAGTATGACTCATAGCGACCCTGTGAATAGCGGAGCTGAACCCTGACCTATCCTGTGCCAAACATAGCATTTCTTATATACCTGACTACCTTGTTCCATTCACTGTGTCAGTCCATCTTGTTGAGGCTCCTCCTTTCTTTGGTTGACCTGCCATACTCTGAAGGACTGACCCCTCCTCACAACATGCTTAAACTATGTGAGACTCAACTTTGTCATCCTTGCCTCTAAGGAGCACCCTGGTTGTACTTTTTCCAAGAAATATTTGTTCTTTTGTAGTCCAAGGGACATTCAATACTCATCCCCAACACTATGCTCAAAAGAATCCATTCTTCTTCTGTCATCCTTATTCAACTTTAAGATGCTTAGTAAGCAATTGAAAAGATGATGTTCTAGATCAACGCACTTTAGTCTTTAAATGGAAAACATTGGTCCTTAGCACTTTGGAGCAGTCCTTGAAGATTTCTCCAAGTGCAACATGCCTTCTGATTTCTTGATTGCTGGTGCCAAGGGTGTTGATTGTGAATCTAAGCAAAATTAAATTATTGACACCTTCAGTGTTTTCTCACTCTATCATGACATTGCTGAGTGGTGAGTAGTTTTATTTGCTTCATGTTGAGGTGCAGTCCACTATTGAAGGCTAGAGACTTTGATTTGTAAGGAGCTCTGATGGCCTAGTGGTAAGATTCTGCGCTGCAGTCCCTAAGGTACATGGTTCAAATCTGTCAGGTGTTCCATGGGAGAAGGATGGACAATCTCGTCCTGTGGGATTGTTGTTGTTGTTATGCGCCATCAAGTTGCTTGCGACTGATAACGACCCTATGTACAAAAGCTCTAAATGCCGTTCTATCCTGTGCCCACCTAGCCATCCTAAACACACTCATTCCCACCACTCCAGCCACAGGATCGATCCATCTCATCGAAGGTCTTCCTCTCCTGTGCCGCCCCTCCACTCTGCCAAACATAATGTCCTTCTCCAAGGACCAGTCCCTCCTTGCAACATGCCCAAAGTATGTCACACGAAGCTTCAGAAGCCTTGACTCCGAGGAGCATTCTGGCTTCACCTTCTCCTCTTAAAACCCACTGGAGAGTCAGCTATGGGTCGGTTCTGACTTGATGGTACACAACACACAACAACAAAAACAACAGTCTTTGATCTTCAGCCTCAAGTGTTTCAAATCCTCCTCACTTTGAGCAAGCAAGGGTGCACAATGTGCATGTTGTTCCCCTGATCCTGATGTCACAGTCCTCTTCATAAAGTCAATCTTCTTGAATGACTTGTTTGGCATGCAGATTTCCCAGGTATGGAGAACACATACATTCACGATGCACACCTTTCTTGATTTTAAACTTTGCATTGTTCCCTTGGTCTGTTCACACAACAGCCTTTTGGTCTAGGTATAGGTTTCACAGGAGCACAAAGAGATGCTCTGGAAATTCCATTCTTCTCAATGTTAGCCACAATTTTTTATGATTCACACAGCCAAATAAAACACAGATAGACACCTTTCTGGTAGTCTCTGCTTTCTGCCAAGATCCATTTGACATCAGCAATTATATCTCTGGTGCCACAGCCTCTTCTAAACCCAGCTTGAACATATTGCAGTTCTCTGTAAATGTACTATTCTAGCCATTTTGGGATGATCTTCAGCAGTATTTTGCTTGCATGTGTTATTAATGATATTGTTGGAGAGAATTTCCAGTTCTTTTGTGCCAGCTTTCTTTGGAATGGATACAAATATGGATCTCTTCCAGTCATTTGGTTCCCAAATTTCCTGGCACAGACTGGTGAGCTTGTCCAGGGCTGCATCTGTTTACTGAAACATGTCATTCGGTGTCCCATCAGTTCCTGGGACCTGATTTTTTAATGTCTTCAGTGCAGCTTGAATTTCTTTCTTCGTTACCATTGTTCTCGATCACATATTACTTCCTGAAATGGTTCCGTGTCAGCCAGTTCTTTTTGGCACAGTAACTCTGTATTCCCTACCTTCCTTAGTGCTTCTTTTCATTTCTATTTTACCATTAATTGATGTTCCATGTTTTCATTGTAAGTTACCTGAAATATATTTTCATTGTAGGCTACTTGAAATCTGCTCAGGAAATATGTAGGGTATAGGCACTGAACAATGAATTGATGAATGCTGGCATGAATGAGTGACACCTGGATTTGTAGGCAACCAGAAAATGAACAGATGGAATATAGAACAAAAAAAAGTCCAAGGCCATGTTGATACTGCATACAATAGTGTGCCAGGTGGGGACTGGGAAATAACACTGAGAAATCATGGACAGGTAAATAACATAAAATAACCAAAGAGAATAAGCCAGTCTGTCTCACAAACTATTTGAGCGGAAACAAGGGAGAATATGAAGGCTTAGCATGGCTATTTGAAGACCAAATGAATAGGATAGGATTGAAGGGCGGGCAGGGGGAACTCTCAATCCATATAACATTTATTTATGTGCCTGTAAAACTGTGTTTACAGTTGTCATCCAGAGGAGCCACGTGATTATGTATGTCCCCTATCATATGCTGTTGTTCTCTGCTGTTGAGTCAAGTACGACTCATAGCAACCCTATGAACAGTGGAGCGGAACCCTGCCTTATCCTGGACCATCTTCATTACTTTTTTGTAAATGTTAAAATTATTCTTATTGACATTTTACCCACTTTATTTTTATTTTATACCTGTGTACAAGATTCTTAAACATTGTGTATCATTCACATGCATTGCCTTTTTACACATTGTGTTGGAAATGATCACGCTTATACACTGTGTTTTATAAAATTCATCACCATTGCCCTCTGCCTACCAGATACTGTATCAATCCATCTTGTTGAAAGTCTTCCTCTCTTTCTTTGGTCCTCTACCATTTTTCCAACTTGATGTCCTTTTCTGTCTTGGTCCCTCTTGACAACATGGCTGAAGTGTGAGATGAAGTGCTTGCTGCAGAAGGTCAAGGACTTCAGCCTTCAGTATGGATTGAAGCTCAGAATCAACAAAGATTCTCACCACTGGACCAATTGGCAGCATCGGGATGGATGGTGAAGAGATTGAGATAGTTAACAGTTTTAGTTTACTTGGCTCCACAGTCAACACTCTTGGTAACAGCAGCCAGGAAATCAAGAGACGAATTGAATTGGGAAAGTCAGCTATAAGAGACCTCTCAAGAGTACAAAAGAGCAATGACATCAGGCTGGAAACTAAGGTGCACCTGATCCAGGCTGTAGTCTTTGCAATTAGTGCTATGCATCGGAGAGTTGGACAGTGAATAGGGTTGATAGAAAGAGAATTGATGCCTTTGAGCTGTGTTGCTGGAGAAGAGTGTTGAATATACCATGGACTGCGAGGAGAACAATCAGGTTCACTTGGAGAGTGTGAAACTGGGATGCTCCTTGGAGACAAGGATTCTGAAGCTTCGTCTGACATACTTTGGACGTGTTCCAAGGAGGGACCAGTCCTTGGAGAGGGACATCATATTTGGGAGAGTAGAGGGACGGTGCAGGAGAGGAAGGCCCTCAGTGAGATGCATCGATTCGGTAATTGGGGCAATGGGAGTGGGTGTGTCAGAGACAGATTGGCACAGGCTAGAGCAGAGTTTAGGGCTGTTGTACATATAGTCGCTATGAGTCACACGCGACACGATGGCACATAACAACAAACAAATGATAAAGCATTTGAATGGTTGGAGAAAATTTGGAAAAAAGTCAAGAATAAAATTGAAAGCAAATTAGAATTTTGCTGCTTAGAAATAACTAGAGGGCAGTGACAAAGACGAAGGCCCTCAACAAGATGGCTTGACAGTGGACAACAATACAACAGTGATTTAGGGGGTGTCAGGACATTTCCTTCTGTTGTCCATAGAGTTGGAGCTGACTATGGCGCCCAACATCAGCAACAAAAACATGCTTATATTAACAGAGTAAATAACAAGAACCATATGATCTCAGCAGTTGATGCAGAAAAGGCATTTGACAAAATCCAACACCCCTTCCTGATACAGACACTCGGCAAAATTGGAATAGAAGGGAATTTCCTAGACATAAAAAGTACATCAGAGGCAAACTGGGATCAAGCTTAGATGGCCTAGTCTATGGTATAAAGAGACTGCCAAATACAGTCTGAAATGCACAATCTGAAGAGGATAAAGTTGATGACTGTGACTGTCTAGAGATTAAATCCCTGTGTGCATCAAAAACATTTTCCAACAGAGTGAAAAGAAAACCTACTTACTGGGAAAAAAACATTTGACAATACCATTTCAGACAAGGGTTTCATATCAAAAGTTTGCAGAATCCTACAGGGCCACCACAAGAAAAAAACGGAAAAGATAATTACTAAATGGGCAAGACATGGAAAGACTTTATAGAGGAAGATATTCACATGGTCAAAAGGCACATGAAGAAATGCTCAAGATTACTGGCAATAAGAGAAATGCAAATCCAAACCACAACAGGATACCATATAATCCTAGTAACAATGGTAAAGCATAGCAGGGCAGCAAGTAATAAATGTTGGAGAGGATGTAGAGAGATAGGAACTCTTGTACACTGTTGGTGAGATTGCAAAGTGGTACAACCACTCTGGAAGGCAGTTTGGTGCTTCCTCAGAAAGCTGAACATAGAAATTCCATACGATCCAGCTATTCCACTGCTTGGAATATATCCCGTGAAAATGAGAACTGAGGCACAGATGGAGACTTGTATAGTAATGTTCATAGCGTTGTTAATTGAGCATCACAGAAACGCAGATACAGCCCAAATGTTCAACCACAATTGAATGGATTCAGAAATTATGGTACATTCACAGGATGAAATACTATGCAGCACACAGGAGCAATGATTTTGTATATCACTACGTAACTTGGGAGGGACAGGAAAGCATTAATGCTAAGTGAACTAACTCAGTCCCATAAGGACAAATACTATATAAGACCATTATTAGAGAATGTGCATGAGGATCCAAGAGTGGGGGGAGGTGGGAGCAGAAGGGTGAGGATGGGCAAGGGTGGGAGGGTCAATCATAGCGTTGCACAATTTGATATGGTAGAGGAAGGGGTGTGTAAAAGAAATGGGAAAAGTCTGGTGTGGAAAACAGTGTATACAAACTTTGTAACGAAACCAGTATAAAATAAAAATTTTATTTAACCCCCCCAAAATAATTAGATAACACCAAACATATATCCCCTTGTGCTCTTTTTTAAAAATTGCATATATTTCTATTACATACGGGAACTCTGGTGGTTCGTTGTAAGGAGCTGCACTGCCACCCTGAAGGCACGCAGTTCAAATCCACTAGCTGCTCCTTGGGACAAAGATGGACCATTTCCTGTGCGATTTACATTCTCTAGAAACTGTCTCGAGGGTCAGCTATGGGTCGATTCTGGGTTCATGGTACATAAAAAAAATATTTCTGTACATAGCTGAGATAAATTTGATTTTCTTATTTCTTTATGTCCATATGTATTTTCCACACACTTAAAAAATTTTTTTGTAAAAAAAAAGTAATTGTTGCATAATAATTAATTCTAATAAGGGACCATCATTTTACTCACCTCCTCTCTTATTACCAGCTATTTGGATTGTGTCATGCTATGGTGAAAATCCTTGTAATTTTGTTTTTCTGCACTCCTCACTTCCGTAAGAAGTGAAATGACTTTTTAGGGCTTTGGATGTACTCTATCTAAAATAATAACCACTTCATTTAGTGAAATATTAAAATAGGAGAAATCCAGTAAAAATTGTTCAAAGCTTAGGTTTATGAAAGGAAATGTATAGCTTGCATAGAGGTTAAGCCAAAAAAGCAAGTAGCTCCATTTTTCTGTGGGAAAGCAGAGGACATTGGTCCCTTTGTGAGGTTGTGAGTTTATGGGTGTCAGATGTATTACTTTAAGAAAAAGTCCACTGGAACAATTGATCTCTTGGGTGTTTCGTGGCTGCAGAGTCCCATTCCTTTACATTCCCCTGAGGCCTTAAGAGTATGAAGTACAAGTATAAAGCCACAAGCCCCTTGAGATGCAGAGTCTAAATATTTAACGCTTAGGCTCTAGTAATACTGGGACAATGAGAAGGAAAGACCATTGCTAAGTAATTTGTTAATTCTGTCTTTGGGAAATAAAACACCCATTACAAAATAAAATTTTGCTACTTTTAGATTATATAATAGATTGCTTGCTCTTTCAGGAGTCAAATAGCTTTGTTGAACAACTCTCAAACTGCAGTAAGTATTGAATTGGGATGGTAATTCGCTTAAAAAGAGACCTTTCAACTCTTCATAATTCCCTGTGAGAGCTCATTGGCAAATCCCTTTCATGATGTGATTACTAAACAAAATGCCTCATTAAAGAAAAAATATTTATGGGTTTTCCCCTTTGTGATGACATGCAGGGTCTTGGTAAGACTTTACAAACTATTGCTTTGCTTGGTTACCTGAAACACTATCGCAACATTCCTGGACCGCACATGGTTTTGGTTCCAAAGTCGACTTTGCACAACTGGATGAATGAATTTAAACGGTGGGTCCCATCTCTCCGTGTTATTTGTTTCGTTGGAGACAAGGATGCGAGAGTAAGTATACAATCTGTTAAACAAAACTCTGACGAGGCATTTTCTGGGGTTGTTTGTATTACATGCTATTGCTGAAGAAGACTACTGTAACTCCAGAGCTGTTGTGCTTACTTTATGCTGGGCTCTGATGGGAGGGCTTTGGGTATGTTAAATATAATGTATGAGATACACGTATTGCCTGTTAATGACAGATAAGCAACTGCTGTGCTTCCTGTGCATTTACTTTGAATTAGATCCTTAACCTAAGAAATTTTGAAAGGCACTTTTAGGTGACTTTAAAAAAAATTTTTTTTTGAAAAGTCTAGTTTTGTTGACAGTATATCCTGTTGGTGATTCTATGGTTTGTGTTGTACTGAAGCTCCAACTATGTACATTGAGATGACATTCATTTGTCGTTTAAAGGTTTAACTTTTGAACTTGTGCATGTGCAGGTATACACATGTGCACAATTGTCACCTCTCCTGTGTGTACATCTGGCCATTGACACGGCTTTTAGGTTTGGTCTTTGAACAGAACAATACATGTCCGCATACAATCTCAGATAGTGATAGACGCTCTAGGCTTTTAAATTAGACATTTGTTAATTTAGATGGCCACAGTGCTTTTAGAGTATAGAATTCATCTAAAAATAATAAATTATGCAAAAATACCAAAATGAATAATCAGCTCAGAAGGCATATTATTAAACTTTGTCTTTACTTTGCCTCCAGAGAACATAGTTTAAAGATTGATTCTATTTTACATCATGAGATAGGTTATCAAGAGAAAGCCTCGAAAGAATCGTAGCGTAATGAATTATGTAATTTTATTCTCCTCATTTTGCTTGAAGAAAAAGTACTTAAATTTATTTAAATTTCACTTATAAATAATTCAAATATTGAAATACTGAACTCATAAATTTGGAATCACTGGCTTGATTCTTCCCTGTGCCTGGTTATTCCTCTGGTACAAGTTAGATTTTTGGAACCCTTTCTGTTCACTGCTGTTATTTAATGTCATTTCACTCCTCATAAAGCTTTACACTTCAGAAGATTGATATTTTGCTGAAATAGTTTCTTGAAGATTATGAGCAGAAGAGAAATATCCAGACTTATGTTTTTATAATATCTCAGGAAGAATGTAAATCAGTGGCTTTTAACTATATTACATAGTTTCCAAGGGCTTCATGAAGTATCTCTAGGAGTTTTAAAGGAAGAGTGGGTGTATTTGTAACCGCTGTGTTTTGATCACATGGATGTTTGGAATTCTGGCAGCTAGTAAATTAAGCTTTAAAATCAGTCTTAAAAATCAGTGTTTTTCCAGTTGTAAGCTGCCACTAGAAATGGGTTGTGAATTCTCCTTAGGGAATGGGTGATAATACTTTTTTTAAAACAAAGAAATAGGATAGAATTGAAAATAGCAGAACATTTCTATATGCAGTAAGAGAAATATTTAAGTTGCTTATTCCTATTTGTTTGCACCTAAACTTACTCAAACGTACATGCTTATACTGGATTATATATACCATACAATTAATTAAAAATATTTTTACTGTAGGCTGTGATCAAAAGGAGTAAGGAGCTAGTGGCAAGATGTTGCACTGCAGCTCCAAAGGCCTGTGGTTCAAATCCACAAGTTGCTCCACAGGAGAAAGATGGGAAGTCTCCTATTGTGCAATTAACTGCTCTAAAAACTTGCTGGAAGGTTAGCTACGATTCAGTTCTGACTCAATGGTACATAACAAAAACATGGCCAAAAAATTTGAAATCCTTTGTTCTAGACAAGTTATATCAGTTTAAGGATTAATATACTTGGGTATTGATATTAGTCTCAGAGGCACTTGCTGTAGAAGGTCAAGGACTATAGTCTTTAATATGGATTGAAGCTCAACATCAAGAAGACAAAGATTCTCACCACTGGGTGGATTGACAGCACCATAATAGATGGAGAAGAGATTGAGGTTGTTAGCAATTGCAGCTTGCTCAAATCCACAATAAACACTCTTAACACCAGCAGTCAGGAAATCAGAAGACAAATTTCATTAGATAAATCTGCTGTCAGGGACCTCTCCAGAGTGCTGAAGAGCAAGGATGTTAGTCTAGAGACTAAGATACACCTGACTTAGGCTATGATCTTTGTAATTACTTGCTATGCATCAGAGAGCTAGACAATGACTAAGGATGACAGAAGAAGAATTGATGCTTATGAATTGTGGTGCTGGAGAAGAGTCTTGAAGATAACATGGACCACCAAGAAAACAAATAGGTTTGTCTTGGAGAGGGTGAAACCTGGTCTTTCCTTGGAGGCTAGGATTTTGAAGCTCTGTCTCACATACTTTGCGACTGATCCTTGGAGAAGGACATCATACTCAGAAGGGTGAATGGACAGTGCAGGAGAGGAAGACTCCAGATGAAATGGATTGATAGAGTAACGAGGGCAGTGTGGTAGGTGTGTCGGAGTCAGACTGGCTCAGGACAGGGCAAGCTTCAGAGCTGTTGAACGTAGAGTTGCTGTGAGTTGCAAATGACTTGATGGCACATAACAACAACAGCAACATGCATATAAGAAGTCTGGGTTATTATAGATAGCTAAATTTGAACCTTAGTATCTCATGACATATAGGGACTTTCTACATTCCAGGTCTAATGTTAACATTTCATGTGGTTCATATTTTAGTAATATTTGATATAAGCTGTTATTGCTGTGTGTCGTGGAGTTGGAACCAACCTGTAACTCACCCTCCAACAGATTTTTCAGAGACAACAAATCAACGGGAGATTTCCCATCTCTGTGGATCAGCTAGTGGATTCAAACGGTGTGCCTTTGGAATTGCAATGCAGCTGTTTACCACTAGGCCGGCAGATTTCCCTGATAAGCTAGGATAGGTATTTAATTGGAAATTATTAAGAGATACTCTTGATCCTATCTGGTACTAACATAGTCCCAAAATCTGTAGGGACATGATTGCCAAGTGCAGTTTCAGGACTCATTTCATTTCAAGATAGAGACAGATCAAAGACAGTAGGCATGGAAATGGGCATCTAAGTTTTAACTCTTTATTGAGTGACATAGCTCTGGTAGCCTAGTCTATAGGGAGTCACACTGCTATACCAAAGGCAGTGCCTCTCTGGTGGTTCCAATCCACCAGTGGCTCTATGGAAGAAAGATGGACATTCTCTTCCCATGATGATTTACAGCCTCTAAAAACCTGCTGGAGGGTTCAGCTATGAGTCAGTTCTGACTTGATGGCAATGAGTTTTGAGTTTTTGTTATGTGGGTCTCAAAGGGCCTTAATTTTGTCACCTTGTAGTTGACAAACTATGATAATACCTCAACAAAGTTTACTTTTTACTCCAGAGTCTTCTTTTTTTTTTTAAAAAAAAATTATTCTTATTAATTTTAATAAAAAATTAGAGAGACTTTGGATTTCCATTCATTCATTGTTGCACTTTTCTCCCTGCCCACCCCTCCCCACCAGTACACTCTTCTCTTTGAACAGTAAAAGAAAAATTCTTTCATTGTTTTACAGTCCCTCTCCCCCGGCCCACACCAAAGTCCTCTTTTCATAAATTCAGTTATGCAGTCAAATACTGTAGACTCATTCAACAGTATTAACTGAATGTCTACTATGTAAGTGGCGACACCTGTAGATGGAATTAGATGGCAGAAAGTAATCCCTAGTATCTTAAATGACCTTAAAAATATGACTTCTGGAGCTCTGGTGACCTAGTGGCAAAAAAGCTGCACTACCACCCCAGAGGCACACAGTTCAAATCCACCAGATGCTCTGCTGGAGAAGGAGGGGCAATGTCCTCCTCCTGTACCAGTCAGATCTGATTTGACGGTACACACACAAAAAAATAATAAAATAAAATTAAATTTTTTTTAAAAAAAATATGACTTCTTTCTAGAGTGCAACTGAGATTCTACAGAGGACCCTTTCTGTCTTTTACTTCCATCTAGATGTGTCCTCATTTATGTCATAGACATTCGGTTAATACTGTTGAGTGAACCCAAAGTGTGTAATTTTTGTTTAGGCATTTTCATTGCACATTTAAGATGTTCATTAGCCTCTTCTCAATATAGGTGTAGATGCACCCCTCACTATCCAGTTAATTTTTATAGTTGTCTTTTTACCAATAGCGTGTGGAATTCAGAGTGTATAAGCGAAAATGTTCTTAGCTTTGGCTTCCATGTTGTCCACTGCCTATAAAGATTTTCAAAATAGTTTTAAATAGCCTGATTCACTCTTCAATAGCTTTCCCAATTGTACCTTCATAATAACACTAGGAACTTCACAAAACATTAATGGGCTTTGATGGCCCCTTAACAGAATGTATGATTTGTCCTTACTAGGAAGAGATGAAACATAGAAGAGATCGCAGAAGGTTATAACCATTCGGTGTATAAAGTACTTTCTGGTTGTTGAAACTATATCATGTTGGTAATGCTTAGATCTTGCTAAGATTGTGCTGTTACAAAGTTATTCTTTCCCCCATGCCCTTCTGGACCCATTGTAGTTTGAAGACCCCAAACATTAAAATTCATTGTCTAGGAGCCGATTCTGACTTACACCAATCTTATAGGTCAGAGTAGAACTGCCCTATAGAATTTCAAAGGCTGTAAATTTTTATGGAAGCACACTACCACATCTTTCTACCATGGAGATGATAGTGGGTTTGAACCACTGACTTTGTGTTTACCAGAAACACGTAACCATTCTGCTACCAAGGCCTAATAACTTCATGATCTTCTGGTGATAAGAATATTTTCCCTATTCATGGAATAGACTGGACTCCTATAATGGAAACTGCTGGTTCTCCTCTGTTGGTGAACATATTAGCATGCCATCTAAACAACTGATCACAAAGGTGTCTTTAGGCCTCAGTTTTCTCATCTCTAAAGTGAGTTAGACTAACTGATGTTCAGAGTCTCTCACAACTCTTAATGTTCTCTTGCTATTTAACTTCATGATCATTTTGTCAGCCTCTTCTAACACAGGGAATTTGGTTTTGCATTAGGCTGCTTTTATTCGTGATGAAATGATGCCAGGAGATTGGGATGTCTGTGTTACTTCTTATGAGATCGTAATTAAAGAAAAGTCTGTGTTCAAAAAGTTTCATTGGCGATACCTAGTTATTGATGAAGCTCACAGAATAAAGAATGAAAAATCAAAGGTAAGTTAGTTACCAATATCTTTATTTAGTTTAAACTACCAAATCAGTTTCTTCATGTCTCTATATTAAAATGTAAAAAGTGATAGAAAATTGTGATTTGTGAAATGCAAGTGAAGGTCAGTTTTTAAAAGTGGCTTTAAAGTTACTGAATACAAGAAAAAAATTGAGCAGTTCTTAATACTGGAAAACAAGTGAGTGGTCATTTGCTATATGTCTTTCAGCCTCTTTCATGCCATAATTGTTTGATATTGTCACAAATATTTGTCGTACAAATATCATTTGTACTGACTTATTTTTTATTGAGGGGCCACCTATGCATATTCATATGGATTGATTAAAAAAACATTTCCTGGTATTATATGACTTGTGTGAATTAGAGTATGGTGTTCACATTGAAAACTATCAATATTTCTTGCCATTCAACTCCATCAACAGTAGGAAACACTTCAATTATTATGATGAACCTCTCTTTGGATCACTGGGCTACTTTGAGAGAAACAGGGACAGAACTGGAGCAAAACCATCAGGTGGATCATACTAATACAAATTGGAACTAATATCTGATAAGAGGATGCATGTTAGAGAATTAATTGTGTAAAGCATTCTGCAGATGCATTTTTATTGACAAGATTATTGTTATTTTATTATTTTTGGGGGTCTTTGAAATCCTTGTGGACTCATGTTTCAAAAGTCAGCATAAGGTATTCAGGAGGTGGGTGGATGGGCTCAATTTTGATCCTTAAAATTTATGGCCAGGTCAAAGTAGAACTTGGTGAAGGAAGACGTGGTTGGGCAGGGGAGGGGAGTCGTGATATACAAAGTGGCTGGCCTGGATTCCAAGGAAAAGATCTAGACTGTTTTCTGTGGACCTAAATTAGAGAAAAGAAGTGTTTTGAGATAAGACAGGGAGAATTTCAGGGCATCTCAGATATGAGGACTCTCTCCAGTCTTTTAAGCATAGAAATGCTGAGAACGTTTTACTCATACTTCACTGCTGCAGTGTTCACTGGAATTGGGATCCCCCCCCCATATCAGAATAATTATCAAGTTTTATTTGAAAAGAAAAGGCATGGCTTGTTGGATAAAGTAGAGCTTAATGCCTGAGGTCTTGGTAATAAGACAGTGTAATATAGCTTTTGCATTTTTCATCTAGCTTTCAGAGATTGTCCGTGAGTTCAAGTCAACTAACCGTTTGCTCCTAACTGGGACGCCTTTGCAGAACAACTTGCATGAACTCTGGGCATTACTCAACTTTCTGTTGCCTGATGTCTTTAATTCGGCAGATGTGAGTTCAAGTCATGTGGTGATTTGATTATAATTGTCTTACAATCACAGACAATTGTTAGAGCTTACAGATGTAGATTGGAATTGAGAGTTCACTTTCATTTGTGCGTTTTGATTTGCTCAGGAAAGACTTCTTAAGTACCGTATTTTAAAATTGGGATATTTAGAAAAATCATGTTTTTTCCCTTTGAGATTAACTTGTTAAATGTTAATTCTTATTGCTACCAGAATTTAGGATATAAGATAGGCCAGGTTCAGAATAGTATGTTCAGCATTTATGTTTTTATTACATTGGAGAGATTTGAAACACATTACAAAACACCAGTTTTGACTAACTTTAGTCCACCAAATGGGTGAAATACCTTTGAAACGATTTTTTATTATGGTGGCCCTCAGTCTTTGGCGAGTGCTACCTCCTGAGGCCTAGTGGTAGGAAGCTGTGCTGCAGTGTTAAAGGCACGTAATCCAAAATCCACCAGCTGTTCCATGGGAGAAGGATAGGCAATTTCCTCCTGTGTGATTAACAGCTTCTGCAAACCTACTGGAGGGTCAGATATGGGGTGGTTTCAATTTGATGGTATTAGAAAACAACACCACCAAGGAAAGAGCTCTGGTGGCTTAGTGGTAAGAAATTGGGATACCAATGCAAAGGTATGCGGTTCAAATCTACCAATTTCTCTGCAGGAGAGAGATGGACAGTCTCCTCTTACCTGATTTTACTGCCTCTTGAAGGTCAGCTATGGGTCGGTTTTGACTGGACAGCAGACAAGAGCAATAATTTTAGTATTTTTAATTATTAACACGAAGATATGTTAGGGTAGCAAACTGAATTGAATGCTTTAAAGTCTTAAGTGCTGGATCCCCCCAACCCTGTTCCAGTCCCCATTACCCTTAACAATTGAAAATAAAAGTACCAGACTCAGCTATCTATAGATTTTGTATACCTTATCTTGCTTTGGCTTGTCTTTATTATTTGGTAAGATTAATATGTTCTTTTAAAAACATTTTTATTATTATTATTTTGTTTGGTTTTTAATTATTATTAAATTTTATTAGTTTTAATGAACATTTACAGAGATTTTGGGTTCTCATTCATTCATTGTTGCACTGTTTTCTCTACCCTCCTCCCCAGTTTGTTCTTCTCCCCCCCCCCCGAATGTCTGTTTTAATTGTCCAATTGCCACAGTGCTTGTCAAAGTCAGTTCTGATTAATGTTTTATTATTATTTTGTGTGTGTACTGTCAAATCAGATCTGACTGGTACAGGAGGAGATTTTCCCTCCTTCTTCAGCAGAGCATCTGGTGGATTCAAACCACGTACCTCTGGGACTGCAGTGCAGCTTCTTGCCACTAGGCCACCAGAGCTCCCTAAGAGTAATATTTTCATTAACATTGTATGTCTTCAATTTTATATTACTGTTACTCTTCTTAAGTAGATATTATGCTATTACTATGTTACGAGGAAGTACAAGAAATTCACCTTTTAATTAAAACATTGTTGACAAAATTTCTGTCCAGTGGGTTAAAAAACTGTTACTTGCTTCAGTATTCTATGTATTTTTGAAAGTAGCTAATGGTCATCACCATTTTTTTCTTTTAAAAATATTTTCTTTTCATTATAATAGCTTTATAGCATGTTTCATTCATATACATTGTATTTTATATAATCTTTCATTTACATTGTGTTTCATGCAATCATTCATATACATTCTATTTTCCATTTTTATACTAGTTTTATGACAAAAATTGAATACATTGTTTCTCACACAAGATCCTTCCTGTTTCCCTCACCACTCCCTTGAAATTGTGTAGCTGCATGAGTAATTCTATTTACTTTCTTTTGCAACTTTGTGTCCATAGAGGATACTATATATGCTATGTGACCCCACATTTAACAGAATGAAACATTGCTCAGGCCTGTGCTATCCTCACAATCTCTGTTGTGCTTAAATTCACATCACAATAATTTTTAAAAGTTCTTTAATAAAATAATCTTCCTACATTAGTTGTATAAAATATATACATAACAAGTTTATCAAGAAACAAACAAACCCACATACTCATTGCAGAATTTCCACCCTCCTTCCCCTACAGGACTTCGATTCTTGGTTTGACACAAAAAATTGTCTTGGTGATCAAAAACTTGTGGAGAGACTTCATGCAGTAAGTAATAATCAAAATGAAAATTCAGTAAATAAATAAGTTTAATTGATCCAGGAAAGAAACCAGTATAGAATTGCTATTATGTCCTCAGCTTCGCTATAAAACCAGAGCCAATGCTGCTCTGACTCGCATGGCCATGCAGATAGAGTAGAATTGCCTCATAGGGCTCCCCAGGCTGTATGAAGTCTTGACAGAAGCATGTAGCCACCTGTTTCTCCCAAAGACTGGCTTGTGGGTTCAAACCACACACGTTTTGGTTAACAAGTCCAGTGTTAATCACCAGAGCTCTTATCACAAGAGGCCTTTTGGTGAAAGAAGGAAGCAGAAGAGTTGTACTCAGAGGAGTGCAATAGGAGAAAGACTCGGCTGGCCATTGCTGGGTTTTGAAGATGGAAGAAGACCAAGAGCCAAGGAAAGCAGGACCTTTATTTTGTCTGGCCTCTCTCCATGGATAATGTGGTCCTCACCAGTAGAGGTTATTTGTTCTCCTGCCTCACAAACCCTCAAGATGGTTTCTGTAGTCTAATAATTCTCCCCTGTCTTCTAAGCTACTGTTTAGTCACTGTCATGCATAAAATTCCTTTCTTACAGTCTGCCTTGTGTGTGCATCTGCCTCCTACCCTTTCTCTTGACTACCATCTACTCAGAACTTCCTCACATTCAGTTTGTTTTCCTCACATTCACTAGTTTTCCATTCTATGATAATAAATTTTCCATTCTGTGATAACAAGCCTCTTCTGTTCTTCTGGAGTCCCTGGGTGGTGCAGATGGACTTGGCTGCTAACCCAAAAGTTAGAAGACCAGATCAGGTTCATGTAGAGGAACCTTACAAGAAAGGCCTGATGGTCTATTTCTGAAAAATCTATCATTAAAAACCCTGGAGAAGAACAGTTCTAGAGACTTGGCAATAGGTCACAAAACGTTGGCGTTATTCTGTTTGACAACTAATTGCTCCTTAGAAGCAGAGAGAGTGAGATTTCATCTTCCCGTCTTTGTGCATATCATCAGGAGTAGTCAGATCCTGAAAAAGGACGTCATCGGTGGAACAGTAGAGAGTCAGTGAGAGAGAGGAAGATCCTCACTAAGATGTATTTACGCAGTGACTAGAACAAGAGGTTGAGGCACCGGGGAGATTGTGAGGAGGAGCAGAATTGGCCAGGGTTCCATTCTACTGTATATACAGTCACTGGGAGTTGAATTCAACTTGATAGCACCTAACAACAACACAGTGGCTCCTTCAGCCACGTTACTTTTTCAGTACCTATTGTTTTACATTACAGAGACTTCTTTTTCCTGTCCATCAGCCCATTTCTGCTGTTACTGTTATGTATCTTTAATATTTTTCTATCACTTAAACTACTCTTTTGCCATTATTCCAAAACTCCTCCCCCCCCCCATACTTGCCCTAAAGACTCTAAAATAAAATACTGGTATTCCTGGCAACTTTATTGTTGTTGTTATGTGCCATCAAGTCACTGGTGACTCATAGTGACCCCGACAACTACACACCAGCTAACCCTCTTAATACTCCTCCTCATATTAAACCAGAGTGGTATTTCCTATTCGCCTACGCTATCCTTCGATCTATCCCTAATAAACTTGGAGGAGTCCTAGCCTTAATTATATCTATCCTTATTCTCTTTCCACTTCTCCACACCTCTAAACAACGAAGCTTTATATTCCGCCCAATCAGCCAATTCCTATTGAGTCTTAGTAGCAGATCTATTTACACTTAATGAATCGGAGGACAACCAGTAGAACACCCCTACATCATCATCGGCCAACTAGCATCAATCTTATACTTTACACTAATCCTCACAATCATACCCATTGCTAGCCTAATTGAAAACCACATACTCAAATGATAATCTAAAATCAAGTCCTAAGAGTATAACAATTACTGTGGTCTTGTAAACCACCAATGGAAATTAATTTCCTTAGGACATCAGGAAGAAGATAAATATCCCACCTCCAGCACCCAAAGCTGGCATTCTAATTAAACTACTTCCTGCTTATTTGTGTGCTATGTATATCGTGCATATATTGTATCTCCCCATATACTAGTATATATATACACATTAATATATTAATCTTACATATCCCTATGTTTAATCGTGCATACATTTATTATCCCCATGCATATAAGCTAGTATTAAACATCCTTGCTAGAGCCCTATTCACTTACATCTCACCCTTAATCAACCCAAAGTCCACCCTTATCCTTCAAACCATGCTTATCATCACCCTTATCTTTCTATAATCACCAACCTTCGAGAAACCAACAACCCTTCCACTTTATACCTCTCTCCTCACTCCGGGCCCATTAAATGTGGGGGTTTCTATACTGAAACTATACCTGGCATCTGGTTCTTTCTTCAGGACCATCTCGCCTAAAATCGCCCATTCTTTCCTCTTAAAGAATGTACAAGAGCCCTTATACCCTGCTCTATCTTGTACTAACTCTATTGTCTCTGACACATCGACCCCTGTTACCCCAGTCATTGAATCAATCCATCTCATCTAGGATCTTCTTCTCTTGTGCTGCCCCTCCACCCTCCCAAGCATGATGTCCCTCTGGTCTCTCCTTGCAATATGCCCAGAGTATGTCACACGAAGCTTTAGAATCCTTGCCTTCAAGGAGAAGCCTGGTTTCACCCTCTCTAGGGACAACCTGTTTGTTCTCCTAGCAGTACTCTTCTGCAGTACCACAGCTCAAAGACATCAGTTCTTCTGTCATCCGTAGTCATTTTCAGCTTTCTGATGCTTAGCAAGTAATTACTAAGACCATGGTCTGGATCAGGTGTTCCTTAGTCTCCAGACTGACATCATTGCTCTTCATTACTCTGTAGAGGTCCCTGACAACAGACTTTCCTGATGCAATTCAGAAACAACTAAATTGCACCAACAACTAGAGCCAAAGAGGAGGAACTAGAAGATTTCTATCAACTTTTACAGTCAGAAATGGTTTGATTAGGCAATCAAGATGCATTAATGGGTGACTGGAATGCAAAAGTTGGGAACGGAAAAGAAGGATCAGTAGTTGGAAAACATGGACTTGGTAACAGTAATGAAGCTGGAGATGATAGAGTTCAGTACAATCAAATATTCATTGCAAATACTTTTTATAAGAAACAAATACAGGCTACACACAGATTTCACATGATGTTAAACAGATCGATTACATCTGTGGAAAGAATCACTGGAGAAGCTCAATATCAGCTATGGAAACTAGGCCAGTTGCTGATTGTGGAATAGACCACCAACTACTCATATGCAAGTTCAAACTGAAGCTAAGAAAAATTAAATCACATATACAGGACCCAAAATTTTATCTTGAGTGTATCCCAGTTGAATTTCAAAACCATCTTGGATAAAGGTTTGAGGCCTTAAACACTAATGAGTCAAGATCAGATGAGCTGTGGGAGGATATCAAGAATATCATCCATGAAGAATGCAAAAGGTTATTACAAAGACAGAGGAAAAAGAAGAGACCAAGATGGATGTCAGATGAGACTCTGAATATTGCACTAGAGTACCAAGAAGCCAAAGCAAAGGGAAGAAATCAAGAAAATAAGGAGATAAGCAGAAGATGTCAAAGGGTAGTATGGGAAGACAGAGTAAAGTATTGTAATGAAATATGCAAAGAGCAGGAGTCAGAAAAACAAAAGGGCTGAACTAGCTCAGCATTTCTTAAGCTGAAGGAACTGAAGAACAAATTCAAGCCTTGAGTTGCAATACTTAAGAATGCTTTGGGCAGAATATTAAACGATCCAGGAAGCCTTAAAAGAAAATGGAAGGAATATACACAGTCACTGTACTAAAAGGACTTGGCGGCACAAAGAATTTCATGAAACAACATAAGAGCAAGAGCCTGTGGTGGCAACCTTATAGAACTGAGTAAAATGGCCCCAGAAAGATTCCAGGACTGTAAATCTTTATAAAAGCAGACTGCCATGACTTTCCAGTGTGGTTAGCAGCTGAGCGCTTTTACCATGGTGCCACTAGGGCTCCGACATTTCTCATTACGTTGCTGTTAATAAATAGGTGGTTCATACTGTTAAATATTTTATATGCTTTTCTCTAAATGATCACTTCTTAGGTTTTGAAACCCTTTCTGTTACGTCGCATAAAAACTGACGTAGAGAAGAGCCTGCCTCCTAAAAAGGAAATCAAGATTTACTTGGGACTCAGTAAGATGCAACGAGAGTGGTGAGTGAGTTTTTCTGATTTCTCTGAAAATGTATTAATGTAGAAGGATTTTCTTTTCCACACCCTTTTAAAAATTGTATTTGAAAGGCTGCAAATCATACTGCGTTTTCATAAAATCAGACATTTTGTGTACATTAAGTACAATTGCCCATCAACAAACAAAAGGATAGAGAAACTATGGTATATATATTCACACAGTGGAATACTACACAGCACTGAAAGTCAAGGAACTTACGAAATATTAATACAAAATGGGTGACCCTGGATGACATTATACTGAGTGAAATATCTCAGTTACAAAAGGACAAATACTGCATAGTGCCACTGCTGTAGAACAGGACTGACATAGGGTTATGGAGAAACTAAGAAAAGAGGGGATAAAGAATCTACGTGGCATTGAAACAGATGAGGGAAAGAACTGTTGAAAAGGAGTATATGATTAGCTATTATTTGCATGACAACAGTCCAGAATAAGAGATGCATAGCAAAGTTGACTGGCCAGAGGAGGGAGGAAATTGGCAACAATGAAAGAATTTTTTTAAAGAGACAAGCCAAGTGGGGGAACGTAAGGAGGAAATTGTGCAACAATGAATCAATGGAAATCCAAGTTCTTGGTAAACTTGTTAAAATCTCAATAGAATTTAAAAAAGTCCAATTGATTAATGTAATGAATTATTAGAATGTCATTCTCCTCCTTTGAGATTTACTGCCTCTAAAAATTCACTGAAGGGTCAGCTATGAGTCTGTTTCAACTTGACGGCACATATAAACAACACCACTCAAATTCTTATTGAATATTGCCTTTCCCTTAACTCAACTTACCTTTTAATTTTTATCCCCCCCTTGCCCTTCTTGTCTTTGTTAGCCCAAGATTGATTCCGTGTGTAATCCTTTCTTTAGCTTTTTATATTAGTTATTTTATTCCATAGTTGTTCTTTTGTGACTAACTTCTGTCACTCAGCATAATTTGTTCTAGGTTCATTCATGTCATAAAGTATTTTTTAAAAATTGATAGTTTTTTAGTGGTGCATCATACTCTATTTTTATTTCCATTAAAATTTACTCACATGTAAGGATTGGCTTTATTAAAATTAGATTTGTAGTGGTTCTGTCATACTTTGAGTCCAATAGGAAATGGAAAATTATGGATTTGGGAAAGAATGTGGACTTGAGAGTCTTGTAGATAAGTGTTTGAATCCTGAAGTTTGCGTCTTCACAGGTACTTTTTTATTTTATAATTTTTTTATTTTTAATTTCAAGGAAAATTTACAGAGACTTTGGATTTCCATTCATTCATTGACAGGTATTTTAATTTGAGCAAGGAATGTAAACTCAGCTTCCCTACTTTAAAAAGGGCAGAATTAAAGAGAATTAAACACTTTGCACATGTGTTAGTTCGTGCTTTTTTCAGTCAGTGAAAACAACAACAGCAATAATAATAATGATGTAATGAATGAAATTGTCAGTGTGGACATTACAAATACAGAAGCTGAAATAGTTTGAGAAATACAAGGAAAGTAGCAAATTGACAGGGGCGGTGCCAAAGACTCATAAATGGGACATGCTAATAATGTAGTAATGTTGTTAAAAGAAATGAACTGTTGGCTTAAATGAATTAGACCACATGTAAAATATGTAGTGGCTGCTTTATAAAATATACATGCCAATTCTTTGAACCCAAACATAAGATAAAACCTGGCTTTTTACTTTATTGTGGTCTTGAGTAAGTTGTTTAACTTGACTTACTTGCTTAAATGTCTATCTATAAAATGGGAGATGACACTTAACACATCTTAGGGTTGTCATGGTTTAATGAGATGAATCTTAGAAAGTAATTGACATGATACAAGATATACACATTCAGTATAATAAATTAAAATAATTGAATGTTGTTATTGTCTGGTATGTATATATGTTAATTTTTTATGAAGGTCTAGGAAAGAGAATGAAATTATTTACCAGATCATTATAAAATTAAAAGATTTATAAGAAAAAAATAACTGATGAAGTTAGGAATAAGAATTTGAGAATTTTTTAAGCTCAAATAAAAGATGGATGCCAACTATCAGCAAATACATGAGTTATTTATTGCCTATAGATTCTTGACTTGTGCATGGAATAATTATTAGCTGACAACAATTTGTAGTAGTAGATGAAACTGGAGAAAACAGATTTACAGGTAGTAGCCATGTTAAAATGTACAAATCTTTACTTGTTTCTTGTTCTTACTAGTTAGTTTTAGGCTCTCATCAAATCTTGCAGTTTATTTTACAGTGAGAATTTAAGCTGATCACCAAAGGGATCTTTGTTTATGGCATTGACTTTTCAAATAATCAGTGGCTAATTGTCATTTTGAAATTTAGGTACACAAAAATTCTGATGAAAGATATTGATATTTTAAATTCTTCTGGCAAGATGGACAAGATGCGACTCTTAAATATTTTGATGCAACTTCGAAAGTGTTGCAATCATCCTTACCTGTTTGATGGGGCTGAACCTGGACCCCCGTATACCACCGATGAACACATTGTCATCAACAGTGGTAAAATGGTAGTTCTGGATAAATTGTTGGCCAAACTCAAAGAACAGGGTAAATTCTTTAATTCTTTTTTTAATTTTAAAGTACATGTGTAATAAATTCATATTAATGAGTTGTGTATGAGTAAAATGGTCCATATTCATCTATTATTCATTCATTCATTGTTCAGCAAACATTGTTGAGTGCTTATTCTTTGCCAAGGATTACCCTTTTGACTAGTTGTACAAAGATGGTAAGACAACAGCCCTTGTCTTGTAGAAGTTCACAGTGTAGTGAGAAAGACAGACCTGAGCAGAAGTCCGTGCAGATCACTGTGATTAAGTGCTGCTTTAGAGGCCTGTGTGAAATGTTGAGACGCTGGGAGTTGGGGAAATTATCCCAGAGGATCTCAGAGGTGAGTGCTGGACAATGTGCAGGCATATACTATGTGAAAAGGAGGTGCAGAGCATTCCAGGGCAGAGAAGTGGAAATCTAAATAAGGGAGTGAGGGAGTTTAGGGCATTTGAGGTAGCATAGCAGTTGAGGAATCTGGGGAAATGGGATGGCATCAAAGGCATACGGGACCATTTTAAACCAAGCTTAAAGGAGTTTGGGCTTTGTTTTGAAAATGGGGTTGGAGTCATTGAAGACTACTGTCTTCGGTTATAGAGAGTTGTATGTTGGGAAGAGAACCTGAAAGCAGTGTGAAGGATCTCGTGAGGCTGTGGGACTAGCAATGAGAGATTAGTAGAGACCATTGTAGTATTCTAGTGTGAAATTGTATAGACTCATTACTCATTCATTTTCAGGACTGAGTAAAGGACAGCAGTAAAGCACATATATCTCAATAGATGTGGAAGCTTTTGAAGACCTTAAAGTGCATAATTTACCACGTGCCTAATTCTACATGGTATACCTTGAAGGATTACGGTATTGGGGTGTCAGAACCTTTGACAATTGGCTTTTCTACCCATTGTGTTCCTCTTGTGTGTGGGAAGTGTGAGGCTGACACAGGATAGAACAGGATTCAGATCTTTTGTTCATAGGGTCACTGTGAGTCATACTCGACTCAATGACACCTAACGACAACAAAGCAGCCATCGTGTTAGCCCTCCTTAGGGACATGGTCTCCAACTAGCTTAAATGCAGACACATCAATAGCTGTGGGATCAATATAAGAGAGTGTGAGTGAGGACAGTGAGGGTGGTGGAGAGACTGTGACTATGGCACTGCTGTGAAGAGACTGTGACAGGGTATAACCAGCAGAACCATAGAAATGGAGCCACTGTTAAGATTTAGATTTCTGCTGGATGATTAAAGGAAAAGCAGATTTATAACTGCTCCGAGGTAAAGTTTGCTGGATGATTGAGGAAACCAGAGGCTTCTTGCATTTGCACTGCTGAACTAAAACCTGAACTTTGACTAATTGAGGAATTGTGTTTTGCTTTTAATCTGGTTTGGGACTGTTGGACTAAACGTGGATTTGTATTGGTAATATTCTTTGCCTCCCTGATTCCCCAACCTATCTCCCTGATAAACCCCACAGCTATAAGTAATGTCTGAGCCAATTTTCAAAAAACATTGAACCCAATGATTAGTAGAAATAGGTGCAGCAGCCTGTGGGGTGGCATTTCTGGCCATATGGGACTATAGATATTATTGATGGGCAAAGTTATCCTTTTTGAAGTGGGTAGAAGTCAAGACTCGGCCTTTTCCATCTTGTATCTGCTCCCTTTGCAGGTTAATACGTGTATTGAGTGTTCATGTGCTGTATTGCATTTAATGTAGAATTTTTATAACTTTCAAATTCACTGTCCACAACTTGAGTGACTTACGTTTTTTTCCACTCTTACTGAATTGTTTTAGGCTCAAGAGTTCTCATTTTTAGCCAAATGACTCGCTTACTGGACATTCTGGAGGATTATTGTATGTGGCGTGGTTATGAGTATTGTCGACTGGATGGACAAACCCCACACGAGGAAAGAGAGGTGAGGACGAGAAAATAAAAACTTCAAAAGTTCAAGTTCCACTAAGCTGTGTTGTTCACGGTTAGGTAGTGTTGAATGTTTGCCTTTTCTCTAGCTTGGTGCATTGAATTTCTCACTACCATCTCTTTCTCTCTTAGATCTTCAATTTGGCTTCCATCCCACCGACTCTATACACATCATCCTTTCCAAGTTCTTCAAAGGCATCCTCACTTACCTAGAGGACACTACACTATCACATCCTTATCTTCTCTAAGCACTGTTCTCTCTGACCCTTTGGATCACTGTTTTCTCGGCTTGCTCTCTGACCTCTGGTTCTGTGTTCTTTTCCTTGATTTGCCTCCTGCAGTAGACCCTCGCCATTCGTGGAGTTTCACAGTAGATTGAGATTTTGCCTGTTCATGAGCAACCTTAAATACAGATGAAACACAGTCATTGGTAAAGGGAATACTAATTTGTATCTGAAAGAATTTTGGGGGAAAAATTAAATGAGCCAATGTAGCTAAAGGTGGTTAGCATGAATTTGGCTCTCAGAATATGAAAGGTTGGTGTGCAGTTGTGCGTCACGTAGCTAGTGAGTAATCCTACCTGTCAGCACCCAGAATCGTTGTCAAATTTGGAAATTCCTGAAGATTCTCTCTCACGAATGTCCTGGGTCGAAGGCATTTTTAACTCTTTAAAACAAAAGTGCTTTTTTGAAGGCTTTACTGTTTACTTTCCGTTTTCTATGCTCTCTTGGGACTCTCAGTCTTTGACTTCTGTCTTAAGTCTGTACTCATGCTCTGGGCAGAGCTCACGATGTTACGGTCTAGAGGACAATGCCTTGACATTGGTTTCAGAAGAATCAATCAATTTTAGCATCAACTCCACTACTTTGTAACGTGCAAGCCATTTAATTCTCTGAGCCTCAGTATCTTTTACTGTATTATAAAGATGATGTTTATATCTTTGCTTCTCTTTTAATAATGTTATGAGGATCAGTGGAAATACTAGATATGAACACAGCTTTGAAACTCCCGTGCAGTGTCCACTTCCAGTCATGAATTTGCGCATAGGGTTTCTAGTCTCAGTTTTGGGAGCCTTTCTCATGCTATAAGGAATGACTCTTAACGTCTGCTCTTCTCCTTCCATAGTAACAACGGACACTGTATCCTTTATGGGCCCTTTTACGGAAACCTAGCTGTAGGATAGGATCATGTAAGTTCAGCAAGTACCTAGGTCCTTTTCAGATAAAGCCTTTTACTATGAACCCACTTTGGAGAAAGAATTGTAACAACACAGAGCAAATTTCCAAAGCATACACTGTTTGCTATAATGTGTCCACTTTCTCTAAAATGGTAACTTGAAGATAATTTATTTCAGGGGATAGGTTTTTCTACATCTACATTCAGTGCAGGCCATATGGTACCATTTGAGGTGATGTTTCACCCTGGGGTCGATCAGAGCTGAAGAGTAGGTGCTTTCTGACCTCAGTTAGCCAATTTGCATTTCCCACTCATCTTTCAGCTCATGGACAATGTGGACGTATCTACTTTATCTGGTTTTTAAAATTTCAAATTATGTTCTTCCTTCAGAGACTTTGAGTTACATAGGTCCTTCAATGTGGCACAGATAAATCAAAGCTGTTCCTTTTGTGTTTGGCAGCACTGTCATTTTTATTATTCTCAGGAAAAGGCAGGCCACAGTTTGAGTCTGTCTCATTGTTTACCAGCCTTTAACAAGCCACGCCTTCTTTCTCAGGTGCTTGCAAATTTGCCCTTTCTCAGCTAGTTAAGCCTTTGGTCATCCACCAACTCAGTTCCTGTAACCTTTACTTAATTGGCCTCCTGTACCTTTGCAGAGAAAGGAAAGGAACATTTGTCAAGCACCTGAGATGAGCTAGGCAGCTTGTTGAATTCAATTGAATTCTCCCAGAGGCCCGGGGAGAGCATCAGTGTAATTTTCTTCATTTGAAACTGCGCCTCAGAGAAGTTAAATGCTTACACTGATTCACAGCTGCAATAGCGGGTTGAGCTGTTATTCAAGCCCAGGTTGTGTGGAAAGCCTTTCACTGTCTCCTCTAAACCCACCTGCCTCTCACTACGGCCTGCTGCCTTCTTTGCTGCCCTCTCTACATGCTGTACTGACTGCTGTAGTAGTGCAAGTCATCTTCCCTGCCTGTAACCTTTGACTGTGCTCTTCTGTTCAGTTATTGTTGTGTGCTGATTAGTGAGTTCTGACTGACAGTGACCCTGGGTGGACCTTCCTCTTAGTCTTATTGGGAGCAGATTACTAGGTCTTTTCTCTCACAGACTCCGCTGGTGGATTTGAACCACTGCATTTAGCTTTTTAAAACCTCGCTGACTGTGTTTTGTGATTATAAAAATGATGAAAGGGAAATTTCTAAGGGAAATTTGGGAAATATTTCTTGCTAATCTATGTGTGTATATAAGATGCCTAAATAATTTATATATATATATATATATATATATATATATATATATATATATATATATGCCATTTTTTAAGGAAGTACATGCATCTATATATACTATCCTGTCACATTTAATTCAGCTTTATGTTGCGTTTTCTTATCTCACTAGAAAAAAACTGTTATGAAAATAACTTTAGTGTAGTAGTTCATCCTGTAGGTGTATAATTTATCCCCAATTGTTGATTGTTTATGTTGTCTCCAACTTTTCACTACTAGATTATTAAATGAAAATAATCCTAAATACTAAAATGAAAGTCCTGATAAATTTTGTGCACATCTCTGATTATTTCCTTAGGATAAATTCCTAGAAGTGGAATTACTGGGTCAATGGGTATGAACATTTTTAAGACTCTTGATGCATATTGCCAAATTGCTTTCCAGAAGGGTTGTACCACTTTACATTCCCAGCAGCAGTGTATGAGAGTGCCCGTCTCATCGTCCCCTCGTCAACATTGAGTATTATCGTCTTTTTTTTTTTAATCTTCAGAAAATGATACTTTGTTTTATTTTTTTTTGGTGACTAGTGAGTTTAAATAATATTTTGTGTTTAGTAGTCATTTGCATTTGTTCTGTGAATTGTTAATTTTTGTTTTATCATTTTTCTTTTGAAGTTGTAATGATTTTCTAATTGTATGAGATTATTATTTAGTAAGGATACTAACATTTCATTAGTAGTCATTAGTCATTTTGAGGATTCTTTACTCAATATTCCTGGATTATCTTCCTGTATTTCCTCATTATTTATCTGCCTCTTTCAGTACTGAAATAAACCTCCTCCTTTATCTGTTGTTATTCTTCCTGTTTCTAAGCCCTTTTCTCTCTTGGTGGATCTTCTAAGCTACACTGTCATTATTAATCTTTCATAAGTTAATGGAAATGGACATTTCTAAAATCTCATCCCCCAAGATGTATTTCAGCTCTCACTCAGTGAAAATATTTTCACTATCACTGTTCAAAATCAATGATTTATTCTTTGCTTAGTTAAAGCAACCTAAGTGATTGTTCTAAGTTTGTTTTTATTAAAATACATTTTTTAGGGATAGGGAGTTTTATACCATATACCTTTGACATCAATTTACCTAGTACAGCATATATATATATATTTAATTTTTTCAATATAGCAGATATCTATAGATGCTTAATGTGTGTTTTTTTTCTGATGGAAGAATATTATAAAGTGGGTCTTTGAGTATGCATGTTACATTTCTTTGCTGATTTAAGAACTCTGGTATTATAATTTGATTTTTTTTTTGTCTATTTTTCTCCTATTCCCCTTGACAATTAAAAAAAAAATTAAAGGAAGCAATAGAGGCCTTTAATGCTCCCAGTAGTAGCAAATTCATCTTCATGCTGAGTACCAGGGCCGGCGGTCTCGGAATTAACTTGGCCAGTGCTGATGCGGTTATACTGTACGATTCAGACTGGAATCCACAAGTTGATCTACAAGCGATGGTTAGTAATCTTTAAAGATATCCGAAATTTGTCTTAGTTCCCAACATTGTTGTTATTTATACCATACAGAGACAATTGAAGAGAAAATGGTAACAATTTGGGGACGTTTTATTGTTAAAATTGATTATCAAGGAAAATAAAGATGCTGTGCTGATTGTAAAAATAGACAAATGAAGTGTAAGCAAAAAAGAACCACAAACAAAAAAAAATGCACCACACACCCAACTGTAGCATTTGTATTTCCATTTTGGATTTTATCAACAAATACAGATGTCTGTTTCCCCCCCTCATTCCGGAAGAATGAAGTTGCGTTTGTTTTCATGAAAAGGATTAAAAATGTAATCTGTTGCTATTATTCTGTATAACAGTGAAAGACCTGAAAGTACATGGTTCTGCATTTGAGAGAGGTAGGAATTTTAACTTTTATAATTAAACAGTTGGGGAGAGGAGATAAAAGGGAACGAACTGTATTTCAAGTAAACATTTGCTTCTCAACAACACTATTGTGTTGAAATTATTCTCCCATCTCCCCTTTTAAAAATTTCTGTGGAGCACTTGCTCTTAAGTTTCCTTGGTCAGTTTCCTTTTTGACATTTTGGAACACCTTTTCACAGTTTGACTAATTTTAAAATAAGAAATGTCATTTCACTATGCGCAGAGAAGCCAAGATCCAGTGGGACAATTGACTGCTTTTTGGAAGCAATGAAAAACTGATCTCTAAAGAGACATAATGTTAATGGTCCTTCTCTCTTTTTTTTCCTGATAGACAAATAAAAAAATTTATATTGGGGCTTTTGTTTCCCCCCTGTATACTTTGTGGCATCCACTTCCTAAACAACTTGCTTCTGGAAACTCTATGAATTTTGATAAATGTTCATAGTTGTAGAGGGGCTTCAGGTCTTTTGTTTGTAGGGTTGCTCTGAGTCGTGCTTGACTCGAAGGCAATCAACACCACCAGCATACTTTATCACAGTTACTAATAGTTTGGCATTGAACTCTCCCTGTTCCATATGACCAAGTAGGCATAAACCTCATTCAGGTCACTTGTTACTGAAAAGAATTGAAGTATAGCTGCTCTTTCAGGATTTACTGGTTTGAGTTTGAAATTTTAAGTATGTGTGGTACGTATGATACATTCTCTCTTCATAGGCCATGTCGAAATACTGTTCCTCATTTCTTGAGTGTGAATGTTTAACAATTGGTGATTTTTGAACATTATTTCTTTGGTTTTCTCTCGCTGGTGCCTTTGTTCTATCTGTTTGAACCCTGAAAACCTTCTGCAGAGTGAAAGGGCAAGTATTGGTATAAACTCACTTACATAAATAAAGCAAGTATTTAGAAACCAGAAATTAGTTGCCAGGATGAAAAGGAGAATTTTTGTTTAGTATAGAGTTTTTGTTAATGGTAGTATAATTATTTCTTTAGGAATAGTGAGAAAGTTTGCACAGCTAGAAGAATATTATTGATGGCATTCAATTATATATCTAAACATTATTGCATTGAGCTGTTTTTGGTGTGTATATTTTTACCACACACACACACAAAAAAAAAAAAAGCCCCCAGCTATTTCTATGTTATCAGAGGTAGCCACCTGGCTACCTCGAAACCATAGAACCCGTTCTAGACCACTATGTGGTAAGGGTATTCATCTCATTAATTCTTAGGACCCTATAATATGTGTCTCTGATTTGCCTCAGTAAGCAGAAGGAACTGCTTGATGATGAGATAAAGCAGACTTTGGTCACCATAGCAACCCTTGCTAACTACTCTATCCCTTTTAAAGCTCCTTGCTAGTTTGCAAGATGTTTGTATTTAGTAGCATAAGTTACTTAGTAACTTAATTCAGAAACTTTGAGCTCCCTTTCCTCTTTAGCTTAAAGGCACTTTGCCTTTTGCTCTTATTAATGGTATGGCATAAAATTTTGTAGATTTCTCTGCTCATAGGGGCTTCAGTATTCATCATCTTCCTTTCCAAAGTGGCAGGCTTAGACAGGTAATTGATAATTTCAAAGCATATGATGCCTATATTGTAAATTCCTAGAATTGCCAGTATCTCATATTGGGCTTTTCTTCTACTAGGATCGAGCACATCGTATTGGTCAGAGGAAGCCTGTACGTGTATTCCGTCTCATCACTGATAACACTGTTGAAGAAAGGATTGTAGAAAGAGCTGAGATAAAACTGAGACTTGACTCAATTGTTATACAGCAAGGTACTTACGTGTATACACTTAATGAGATGGATTTTTTAAAGTGTGGATTGTTTAGAGCATCCAAGCTTAAACCCTTGCACTCAACATATTGAGTAGATTGTAGAATATGTAATTTAACACCAATAGTATGTATTTAACAATTAAATGTAATACATCATCTTGGATTCGATCCTGACTCTAGTGAAGGTGGTGAAAATAGCAGCCGAAAGGGACATTACTAGGAAAATGCACAGAACTTGAAGTTTAAGTTATGAATCAGAAAAGAATTTTTTAATCCACATTATATTTTATATCTATAATGTGTTTATATACAGCACACTAGAGGAGACTGCCCATCTATCTGGTGTAGAGTAGCTGGCGGATTAGAACCACCTGCCTCTGTGATAGCAGCTCAGTGATACCCACTAGTCAACCAGTGCTCTTTAAGGTGTGCCTGATCCAGGGCATGGTCTTTGCAATTACTTGGTATGCATCAGAGAGCTGGATAATGACTAAGGATGATCGAAGAAGAATCAATACGTTTGAGTTGTGCTGCTGGAGAAGTATATTGAACATAGCATCAACTGCCAAGAGAACGAATAGGTCTGTCCTGCAGAGGGTGAAACCAGTTTGCTCATTGGAGACAAGGATTTTGAAGTTCCATCTCACATACTTAGGGCATGTCACTAGAAGGGACCAATCCTTGGAGAAGGACATTACACTTGAAAGGGTAGGATCAATTTAGAAGTCGATGACCCTGGATAAAATAGATTGATCCAGTGACTGTGGTAGTGAGGTCAGGTGGTCAGAGATGGTGAGGTTGGCTCAGGGCAGGCGTCAGAGCCAGTGTCCACAGTGGGGTTATGGGTCAGAGTTGATTTGACAGCACATAGTAACAATGTGTTTATGTAAGAAAATAATCTTGGTTTGGGGGAATATCCCCTCAGCTGTTGAGGCCCAAAAAGATACAGCATCTCTAATATTTTTTTTTCCCTCTAAAGGATAAGGGGGTTCTGCATGTTACAAAGTGTTATCTTTCTAGCCGTCAACCAAAAGTAGGTTTAAGGTTTGAGTCCATCTAAAGGTACTGTGGAAGAAAGTCCTGGTATCTACTTCCTAAGATATTAGCTATTGAAAATTCTGTTGAACATTGTTCCAGTCTGTGAGGATTGTCTGTTTTATGGGTAAAAATTGACAGAGAAGTATAGATAAAGTTACAGTAAGGGAAATCACTACAATATAAAGGGTGTATGAGAATTCTTTGTTGTATTCTTTCCAACTTTTTCTGTGGGTTTAAAAGAATATGAAAAGAAAATGTCACCCACTCCCAAAAGTATGTTCTTTGAAAACATAGCATTATTATTATTTAGCAGGTAAAATGTCTAATTCACAGATTTTTTAATTATACAGCTGTTGTTGTGTACCACTGAGTTGCAACTGACTCAGAATTGCCCCTCCAATAGGATTTTAGAGGTGGTACATCTTTATCTTGTGGAGCAGCTGGTGGATTTGAACTGTGTCCTGTGGGTTGGCTGTGTAACTCCTTAACACCAAGTCACCAGAGCTCCCTAAATAGACGGTAGAGGGTACCTTTTCATACAGATTGTTAAGTGCAGTGTGGTCAGAACTGACTCATAGCTGACCCTCCAGTGGGCTTTGCCCATCTTTTTCCCATGGAAGAACTGGCGGATTTGAATTGCCTGCCTTCGGGGTTGGAGCTGTACTCCTTATCATTTAGCTACCAGAGGTCTCTTTTTGTATGTAGAGATTCATATATGTATCTATATATTTAAATTTTATCAGAGGACTTTTCTGCCCTGTTGGGTGAGAAGAAGGACGGCCTTTAACAGTATGGATTGACACAGTAATTGCAACAATGGACTGGGGCATGTTGGGGATTGTGAGGATGGTACAAGATAGGGCAGAAATCTACTGTTCATAGGATCGCTGTGAGTTGTTGTTGACGTCTAACAACATCATTGGATTTTAACTGAATGTTCTAGAAGGAAATTAGTAAAAAAATAAATAGTCTGGGAGAAGCAAAACCAATAGGGTGGGTCATTAAAAAAGCAACTTTAAAGTTTATTACTTTTCTGTTCTTGTGAAGCTTTACTTATAGATGTGTAGAATGGTATCTGATGAGAACTATTAGCCTGTGGGTTTTTTAAAGAATATAACTGAATATATGTAATATTTTTTTTTAATTAGGAAGACTTATTGACCAGCAATCTAACAAACTGGCAAAAGAGGAAATGTTACAGATGATACGTCATGGAGCCACTCATGTTTTTGCTTCTAAGGAAAGTGAGCTAACAGAAGAAGACATTACAACAATTCTAGAAAGAGGGGAGAAGAAGGTTAGTTAACGTGACATTTTATTTCCAATATACGTTTCTTTAAATGAGTATATTTCTGTATACTTCTTCTGGCATCTACTGAAATACAGGTGACTCATTTCATTTCAAGTGACTCATGCTCTCTCTAAGAATTTGTATATTAATTTTTCAGGAGTGGTTTAGGGTTTTGGGTGTAATATTCCATGAGAATAGAGGAGGAATGAGCAGTTTAAAATTTGGTAACCCTCTCACAACTCATTATTTATGGGTTAGAACCTACTCGTAGCTGACCCTCCAGAGGGCTTTGTGAGATTGTAAAATCACATGGGAGGATGTTGTGCATGTGTCTCCTAAGGAGCCATCGGTAGATTAATCTAGTTCCTTATTATTGAGATTTTCTATTTATTATTTCCTATTCTTTAAAAAAGCCAAGTTATCTTTGCATTTATTAACATGTGTCAAGACTGCACTTGTTTCTATACTGGATTAGAAATCGTCTACTGACACATTGTGTTACCTAACAATACTGCGTTTTGTGAATCTTGCACGAAGAAACAAAGCATAATTTGCCATAGTTTAATAGACTGCTTTCAGAATATATGAGATTTTGTGTGGAATTTACCTTTCTTAAAAATTACTGTTGACAATTTTGAATATCAGTGAAATAAATCCATCCTTGTTGAGTTGATGTCTCCAGTAGGACAGAGTAGAACTATTATAGAAGCAGACTGCCACCTCTTTGTCCCATAGTGCAGCTGGTGGGTTTGAACTACAGACTTTTCAGCTAGCAACCAAGCACTTAACCACGGCATAAGCAGAATAGTGTGGTATAATGTACTCCCCATGTGGTCGTCACCCACTTCACTCTTCAATCAGTGCTGCCCTATCCACATTCTCCCTCTCATTCATTCCCCCTCTCCTGGATTATTTTAAGCAAATGGCACACATAAAATATTTTACTATCTTTGAGCTCTGGGGGCTTCTTGTTGTGTACCATAGAGTGAGAATGAACTCATAGCTGACCCTCTGGTGGTTAATCACATCGGATGTGATTGCCTCTCTTTCTTCCACACAGCAGCTGGTGGCCTCAAACTGTGTGCCTTCGGGATTGCAGCGCAGCTTCTTGTCACTAGGCCACCAGAGCTCCCTGGTGGCTTAGTGATAAGGATTTGTGTTGATAATGCAAGGGTATGCAGTTCAAATCCATCAGCTGTTTTGCATGATGGGTAGTCTTCCTTATCTATGCTGAAAAGATTTCAAAGAAAACCTCTGTGAAGATACTTGGGAAGATCCATTTAAGTACTTAAAGTACTTGGTGCAAGCTAGGTTGCTATTCACGTTTGCTATTAACATTGCTTTCTTACTCTGTGACTTAACAGACTAAATATTTCATGTCAAACCCTGACTCTTTAAAAAGGGAGAGAATTCACAGAAGTTTCTTGGTGATAGAATAACTAGTAATAATAGTTAGAAGTTACTCAGTGATGGTTTCTAATTTCAATGTGTTCCACTTTAGACTGCAGAGATGAACGAACGCTTGAAGAAAATGGGAGAGTCTTCTCTGAGAAATTTTAGGATGGATACTGAACAGAGTTTATACAAATTTGAAGGAGAAGATTACAGAGAGAAACAGAAGGTAACCTTTAACCCTCATCTATTGATCCAAGTGATCATTTCTCCTCAAAGCAATTTTAAAGTAATTCTGGTTACTTTAGAATAACCTATTACATATAATTTAATAATCTATTACATTATTCTGCTATAGGGTGAAATTTTAGGAAGTCAAAAGATCTCATGCCATCGAATATATTTTACTGTTGGGTTTTATTTTTATCCTCACCATCTTTTAGAATAACTTATTATATACAATAGAATGACCTATTACATTATTCTGCTATAGGTGAAATTTTAGGAAGTCGAAAGACCACATTTCATCTGGTTTTATATTTAAATTCTGTATTTTACTGGGATTTTTTTTTTAATTCTCACCATAATTTTTGCTTCTGGTACTACTTCTAATCTTGTAATTAAGAAGTAGTTATCAGATTATGGTTGCGTGTCTGGACTGTATCACTAATGATATGATACTCAATTTTCTGACCTGTCAAATGAAGATTATATTAGGTGGAGTTCATAGCAGTTCAGGATCATAGAGTAATTTTTTTAGGATTAAATGAGTTAAACACTCATTCACTTAATTGCCTTTAAGTCAGAACACACTCATGGCTGACCCTCTAGTGAGTTTTCAGAGGCTGTAAATTACACCAGGGGAGATTTCCCATCTTTTCCCTGAGGAACAGCTAGTGGATTTGAACAGCCTACCTCTGGGTTGGCAGTGCTTACGCGTGACACTTTGTATCTGAGACACCTACCCCTATTACCCCAGTCACTGAATCAATCAATCTCATCGAGGGTCTTCTTGCGCTGTCCCTCCACCCTCCCAAGCATGACGTCCCTCTCCAGGGATTGATCCCGCCTTGCAAAATGTCCAAAGTATGTCAGATGAAGCTTCAGAATCATTGCCTCGAAGGCGCAGCCTGGTTTCACGCTCTCTTGAACAAACCTGTTTGTTCTCCTAGTGTCCATGGTATATTCAATATTTTTCTGCAGCACCACGGCTCAAAGGCATCTTTCTATCATCCCTAGTCATTGTCCAGCTTTCCAACGCATACCAAGTTAATTGCAAAGACCATGGCCTGTATCAGGCGCACTTTAGTCTCCAGACTGACATCGCTGTTCTTCAGTACTTTGGAGAGGTCTCCCTGACAGCAGACTTTCCCAGTGCAATTCATCTTTTAATTAATTCCCTGGCTGCTGGTGCCAAGAATGTTGATTGTGGAGCCAAGCAAATGAAAGCTGTTAATAATCTCAGTCTCTTCATCATCTATCATGATGCTGCCAAGCGTCCCATTGGTGAGAATCTTTGTTTAGTGAGAACCTTTGTTTTCTTGATGTTGAGCTTCAATCCATATTGAAGGCTACAGTCCTTGACCTTCTGCAGCAAGCGCTTCTTAGAGTTAGAGACTTTGGATTTCCATTCATTCATTGTTGCACTTTTCTCCGTGCCCAACCCTCCCCCCCAAATTTGCTCTTTCCTTGTAAAGTAAAAGTTATTTCATTGTTATACAATCCCTCCCCCAAAGTCCATTCCATTATGCTACCTTCATTCTGGACTCATGACAATAATACCTAATCATATATCCCTTTTAAACAGTTTTCTCCCTCATCTGTTTCAATGTAGTATACATAATTTATCCCATCTTTCTCAGTCTCCCCCCAACCCCAGTGTCAGTCCTGTTTTACAATAGTGGCACAATGCAGTATTTGTCTTTTTGTGACTGAGATATTTCACTCAGCATAATGCCTTCCAGGGTCACCCATTTTGTATGATATTTCATGAGTTCCTTATTTTTCAATGCAGCATGGTAGTTCATTGTGTGAATATACCACAGCTTCTCTATCCATTTGTTTGTTGATGGTCACTTGGGTTGTTTCCAACTTTTTTCCTTTTTTTTTTTTAATGTCCTTTATTTATTTTCAGGAGACTCAATCCAGTATCCCACAGTGCACTTTGGCTTTTTGTCTCCTTTGTTGTTGTTGTTGTTTACTATCGAGTCAGATCTGAACCATAGCTGACGGTCTAACAGGTTTCTGGTGGGTTTTCAGAGGCAGCTCATGGCACAGGAGGAGATTACCCGTCCTTCTCTCTCAGAGAAGCTGGTGGATTAGAATGGCATGCCTTTGGGATTGCAGGGCAGCTTCTTACTAGTACGCCACCAGAGCTCCAATATAATTGGGCCAATTGGCAGCATCATTATGAATGGTGAAGAGATTGAGATTATTAACGGTTTTAGTTTACTTGGCTCCACAGTCAACATTCTTGGTACCAGCAGCCAGGAAATCAAGAGACGAATTGCATTGGGAAAGTCAGCTTTCAGGGATCTCTCCAGAGTACTGAAGAGCAACGATGCCAGTCTGGAGACTAAGGTGCACCTGCTCCACGATATAGTCTTCACAGTTGCTTGCTCTGTATCAGAGAGCTGGACAATGACTAGGGAATTGATGCCTTTGAGCTGTGGTGCTGGAGAAGTGTTGAATATACCATAAACTGCTAGGAGAACAAAGAGGTTCGTGCTGGAGAGGGTGAAACCAGACTGCTCCTTGGGGGCAAGGATTCTGAAACTTCATCTGATGTACTCTGGACATGTTACAAGGAAGGACAGGTCCTTGTAGAGGGACATCATATTTGGGATGGTGGTGGGACAGTGCCAAAATAGGAAGACCTGCAATGAGATGGATCGATTCAGTGACTGGGGTAATGGAGAGTAGGTGTGTCAGAGACCCTGAGGTTGGCACAGGATAGAGCAGGGTTTACGGCTCTTGTACATAGAGTCAATACGAGTCACAAGCGACTCAGTGGCACATAACAACAACAGCAACAACAGTCTATGACAGCTCCTTAATCCTTCCTTGTCTTTGACGACTTTAGGTGCTGTTGCATCTTTTCTGATTCATAATGACCCTTTGTACAATAGAATGCAACACGACTCAGGCCTACACCACGCTCACAATTGTTGCTGTGTTTGAGCCCATTGCTCAAACACTGTGCCAGTTCATCTCACTGAGGGTGGTGGTCTTTTTCGCTGACCCTCTCCTTTACTGAGCATGTTATCATCCCCCAGGGAGTGGTCCTTCCTGAGAACGCATCCCTAGTATGTGAGAGGAGATCGCTCCATCCTCTTTTCCTCTGAGTACTCAGGCTCTACTTCTTGCAAGACAGGTTTGTTTGTTCTTTGGGAAGTTTGTGATCTGTTCAGTAGTCTTTGTCAGTGCCCTAATTAAAAGGCATCAGTACTCTGGTCTTCCTTGATCATTGTCTTCCTTTTACGTACACATGACACAACCAAAAATACTATGGTCGGGCATACCTTAGTCTTTCAATTAAAGAGTACTGGGCATTTATTTTGTGGCTTGTCCCTGTCTGTTTGGGTTTATCTGATGTTTTCTCATGATTTGATTGAGAGTATACTTTGCAAGAAATACCACAGGAATACCACAGCAGGGATCTTGTGGTTGTCTCAGTGTATCATATCAGGGTCTTTGTCTTGTCAGTTTATCTCCTTACTGCTAAAGTACGCCATGCCCAGTTGGCAGAGGTAGAATTTCCTGGCTTTATCGATTGTAAAGTTACCTATTTTCCCTATTGTAGTTGATGAGTCCTGTGGAGCAGCTCCTTTTCCAACTTTATACCCACTGATTTAAAAACCTATTGGTCGAGTTTCCCTATAATAGTTAGGATGCAAAACCACCTCGCTGCCATCAAGTCACTTCCAACTCCTAGCCCTCCTCTGTCAGTTTACGAGACTGTAAATGTTATGAGAGGGAACTTCCCATCTTTGTTTCATGGAGTGACTAGTGGATTTGAACTGCCAGCTTCTTGGTTAGCAGCCCTATGTGTTACACACTAAGCCACAAGGGTTTCTTAATAGCTAGGATAATCTTTGCCTGTTGGCAATTTTATATTTCCCCTCCTTTGACTACATTTACGAAGTAGAACTTTTGTAAGAGCTGTTCTCCATGAGCTTTTATAACATATATTAGTGTGGGTTCATGGACATTTATTTTATTTTTGGATTACAGTCCATGTCTACCCTTGTTTATTTTGTTGTGCCAATTGTTCCACAAAGCTTATCTTGTTTGGTGCTGTCCCAAATGAATTTTAATAAAATTGAAAAAGCCATTTCTCAGGTATTGATTGTACTGAGAATGAGAGGCAAGCCATTTGCAACTAGTATGCTGATAATGTCTTGTTGCTGGCTTTGCTCCTGATGGTTTTTAGTTTCGGGCTTATATCTGGTTGTTCTATCTATAACCTTGACCCAGACTGCTTACATGTTATCCTGATGAGATGGAGGTGATGGCCTGTGTGCACAGGGTGGAAATTATCTTCCTGATAGGCTTTTTGGATCTCATTATATGATAGGAATTTTATTAATTTTGCAGTGATTCCTAAGGGCTTATTGGTGCTAGGAGAGATTTATAAGGTGGAAAAATATTGAACAGTAAAGAATCTAAATATAATTTTAGAGGAAAATTCAACATAGGGAATGCCTATTTAGTTCATCTGTCACATGTTGTCTTACATAAAGTACTTCCAATCCTGCTAAAATAATGATTCTCAGATTTACAGAAATTTTAATGATAATAATTGTATTTTTTTCCATACTTGAATGCTAGTAATAGTTCTAACCCAAATCATATTTCCAACTCCCCTGAGTATGCTGCGCTGAGATCATGTTTTATTTTTATCTTTGTATTAAAGTTCTCAAAATAGATTTAATCTGTCTCTTGAAGAGGGAGCTCTGGTAGTCTACCGGGTAGGGAGTTGCACTGCCAACTCAAAGGCATGTGGCTTGAATCCACAACCTGCTCTGTAGGAGAAAGATGGACAGTCTCCTCCCATAAGATTTCTAGCCTCTGAAAACCTGCTGGAGGGTCAACTATGAGTTGGTTCCGACTTTCGATGGCAGTGAATTTGAGGTGGAGTGTGTGTTATCACTTGAAGAGATTTGAAAACCTGAGAGACTCTTGCTTGCGTGTAAGTCAAGGATGTAACTACACAGTGAGGTAGATTTGCATATATTATCTGTTGTGTTATCCCGGGTAAATAATGTCATCCTAGTTGACATTGGTGGTTTTTTTTAAATTTTATTTTATTAATTTTAATGAACATTTACAGTGATTTTGGATTTCCATTCATTCGTTGTTGCAATTTTCTCCCTGCCCAGCCCTCCCCCCCAGTTCGCTCCTCTCTTTGAAAAGTAAAAGAAAAATTCTTTCTTTGATATACAGTCCCCCCGCACCCCTCCCACCACCCCGAGTTTTTTAAAAAATAATTATTCATTCTAAGAGGTGCATAGCAAAGTGGACTGGGGGCTTGGGGAGGGGGGAAGGGAAGAACTTGTGCAACTATGAAAGAATCTTTTTAAACAGAAAAGTGAACTGAGGTGGGGGATAGGGCAGAATATGTGCAACAATGAATGAATGAATGAATGAATGAATGGAAATCTAAGTTTTCTGTAAACTTTTGTTAAAATATCAATAAAAAGCCCCAAAACAAAAACAGATTTTTATTCATTCATTCATTGTACATTTTCTTGAACAAATTAAATAATTTTTTGTTAATATATTCTTGTCTAAAGCAAACTAAGTAAGTATGATTTATTCAGTTTTTGAAAGTTCAAGAATTGGCTTTTGATGTTTATTTTAAATTTGAATACCTAAGCCTTCAAACACATGTACATTAATTGGCTAAGTACATTACTTTTAGAAAGTTAAACTATTATTATTAGTTTAAACGACTTAAACTATAACTTATTAGTTTACTCTTGACTCCACTTCAGAGAGAAAATACTTTGGTTATTTATTGTTCATTCTTCTATTACTATCACCTCACATTAATCCATCTGAAAAATTAGAATTTGTTTCCCTGCTCCAGGTAGTTCTCACTTTACTTATGTGACACCTTATTGTGAGTCATAACTCATAGACTATTAGAATCAGAAGATACTTTAAGGCCTTTAGTTGCTCCAGACCGTTGTTCGGCATGCGGAGTGAAGATCGCTCTGTGGTGAGTCGTCGCCATGGCCATTTGTCAGTTCTTCCTTCAAGGCCAGTGCCGCTTTGGAGATCGGTGTTGGAATGAGCATCCTCCTGCCGTGCCGGGAGTGCAGGCGGGTCGCGGAAGCAACCTCAGCAGCAGGCCTCAGGTAGTACCAGACGGTGGAATGACGGTAATCAGAGATCCTCCAGTGTGATTCAGCCATCCAGTTTCTCCAAGTCTTCACCATTAGGGGGCAGCAGAGATCAAGTGAATCCATCAGGCAGCATTCTTGTTTCTGGAACTTCATCTAGCAGCAGTGGAGATTTGAGGTTATCTCAGAGCTCACTTACTTCACTTAACTCTGATGAGCAGAAAGATGAAAAGAAACTCATAGAAGGAACTATAAAAGATATGGAGGTTTGGGAATCATCAGGACAGTGGATGTTTTCTGTTTATTCTCCAGTGAAAAACAAGCCTAATGTTTCATGCATATGTCACTATGAAATTCCTGACAAAGACGTCAAAAAAACTATTACTAAGTTTTCTCAATGAAATAAAGGAAAATACGGGAAACTTTTTAGAAGAACTCAGGAAAACAATACAAGAACAAAATGAAAAATTCATTAAAGAGGTAGAAATCTTACATGAGAAACAGAAAGTCCAGAGCTTTATGATAAAATAACAGAAATAAACAACACTATAGAAGAACATGCAAGTAGAGTTGAGGCAATGGAAGAAAGAGTTAGTGAAATAGAAGACAAAATTGAGGTTACACGTTTCGAAGAATATTTGGAAAAATCAAAGAAAGCTGAACAGGAAATAATGGTTTTGCAGGACACCATCAAGAGAAACAATATACGCATAATGGGAATTCCAGAAGGAATGAGAGGAAATCCAGAAAAAAATTTTGAAGAAATAATGGCAGAAAACTTCCCAGATATCATGAAAGACAACATTTTAATTGAAGAAGCTCAACGAACCCCATCTTGGTTCAATCTTAAGAGAAAAACACCAAGACATATGATAATTAAGCTTTCCAAAACTAAAGATAAAGAAAGAATTTTGAAAGCAGCTCAAAAAAAGCAAAATATCAAATATAAAGGTATCCCACTAAGAATAAGTGCTGATTTCTCCTCTAAAACTATGCAAGCAAGAAGGGAATGGGATGGCATATACAGAATCTTGAAAGAATTTAACTATCAGCCAAGGATACTATACCCAGCAAGACTGTCTTCAAGGATATGAACATGTACGGCCAAGCACAATCAATAAGAGTGCATCTAAATTCCAAAATCAATCTCCATAATAGTCTATGTGTTTCCTACTGCCAAAGGGGCCCTTTAGAGTAGTGAGAGAAGATCTTCACCCTGAAACCCACAGCGTCCCTTTTCAGCAGGAAGTAGCTAAGAGAATACACCATCCCCTTTTCCTTATGAATCAGGGTGAAGTCTCTCTCAGGGAGAAGTGATAGGGAATGGCAAAGGACACACCGACAAAGGAGATTAATCAGAACTGACTTTGACAAGCACTGTGGCAATTGGACAATTAAAACAGACATTCGGATGGCGGGGAAGAAGAACAAACTGGGGAGGAGGGTAGAGAGAATGGTGCAGCAATGAAGGAATGAAAATCCAAAATCCCTGTAAAATGTTCATTAAAACTAATAACATTTAATAATTTTTAAAAAATTGAGGGTAAAATGAAGATATTCCCAGATAAACAGGAATTAAGGGAATTTCTAACTACCAGACCTGACCTAACAAAAATATTAAGAAGAGTCCTCCAGAAAGGAAACCAACAGCCAGCAACTGAGGACAGTGGCGTTGAATAGTCACTTGAATACATATCACAACAAAATTATAGGAAATCTAGGATGCAAAGTTGAAATGAGCAATAAAAGGAATTGTGGTTAGTTTAATACAGAATTTTTACACACTGAAGAAAAAAGCAGTTTTAAGAAATAGCATTGTTTTAAATGTAGGACATTAAGTTCATAATACTTAGTATTACCCGCAAAGTAAATAGATCAGCTAAATGAAGAAAAATGACTCAATACCAAAAACAGTAATAATTAATAAAAGGAAATTTTTTTAAAAAGCCTGAAAGTAAATGGGAGCAAAGAAGTCATCAACCTCACACACAAATATAACAATAACAAAATTCTTATATAAATATGTGGATGAAAATATGGCATACCCTGAGGGACATTGGAGCAGAAGGGTAAAAATATCCTCAAAGGATTGTGGGGATAGGGAATAATACAAAAAACCCCACAGTAATCTAAAAAACAGTATTAATATTCTTAGCAATATAATTATAAATAGACTTGAAGTAAAAATTCATCAAAACAAAGAACTTTATATAACAAAGAACCAATCTACCCAGAAAACATAGCAGTTATAAAAATCTACATATCTGATGTGAGAGCCTTGACATTTATAAAGCAAATACTTGCAGAATAAAGGATTTAAATGCTGTAGACTAACAGCCAGTTAGACCTAACTCATATTTGTCTGTATTTTAACCAGATAACAGCACCTCTGTATATATTCTATATGACTGTACACTGACCATTCTTCAGAATAAATATGGATATACTAAAAAACCAGTGAGTTGTAGAAAAATTTAAAAATAGTAAAAATCTTTGGGACATAGTGAAAGCACAGCGCTCAGCATAAAATTCAAAGACTTAATTCTATACCATTGTTACACTTTTTTATGTTGACTTGTACGATTTCTGTTATGTTGCCATTTGCACTTGTGATGGATAAAGCATTGCCTAAAGTGGTTTTCATTTGAATCAAGGTAGAAGCCATGCTGTACTTCAGAATGTAATTGATGAAGAAATAAAACTTATTTTATTAAACTTGAAAAAAAAAGAAGATACTTTAAATGTCATTTACTTTAACCTTTCTTAAAATAAAAGTGTCATCAGTAGCTTTCTGTTTAGTTATCCATACTCTGTTTGAACACTGTAGTTTTGGAAATCTTACTCTTCTTAGGATAATATTTTATGGAGAGGGACATCATGATGTCCTTGGAGAGGGACATCATGCTTGGGAGGGTGGAGAGACAGCGCAGGAGGGGAAGGCCCTCTATGAGGTGGATTGATTCAGTGACTGGGGTAGTCGGGTTGGGTGTGTCAGAGGCAATGCGATTGGCACAGGATAGAGCAGGGTTTAGGGCTGTTGTACATAGGGTCACTATGAGTCACAAGCGACTAGACGGCACATAACAACAATACTGGGTAGGAATCTACTTTCCTATAACTTCACACTAGGTATATGCTCTTATGGAGCAACAAACAGCTTTATTCTTTTCTTTATGGTGTTGTGTGTTATCAAGTGGATTCTGAGTCAGGACAGACCTGTAGGACAGAGGAGACCTTCCCCTTGGGTTTTCTGAGTCTGTAAAATCATTTCCTTGGAGAAAGACATCATGCTCGGAAGGATGGAGGAACAGTGCAGGAGAGGAAGACCCCAGATGAGATGGATTGATACAGTTACTGAGGCAATGGGGGTAGGTGTGTCAGAGTCAGTAAGACTGGTGCAGGACAGGGTAGGCTTCAGAGCTCCTGTACATAGGGGTCGTTGTGGATCACAGGTGACTCGATGACACATTACAACCACACCACAACAGACCATTCTGGACACAGCTGCTCCATGGGAGAATGATGCAGTCTCCTCCCATGTGATTAACTGCCTCTGAAAACCCACGGGATGATAAAGTGGATTCTGACTTGATGACACAAACAACAACAACAACAACAACGAGTGTTTTAGTCTTTCTGCTTTTCTGAAACATCTGTATGTTTTGCTTTTATAAGGCACTCTGGAGTAATTAAGTGCCTTGTTCTTGTTTCTTGGGTGTAGCTTGGCATGGTGGAATGGATCGAGCCGCCTAAGCGAGAACGCAAAGCCAGCTATGCAGTGGATGCCTACTTTAGAGAGGCTCTACGTGTCAGTGAGCCCAAGACCCCAAAGGTAAAAGCGCGTGAGGCCAGTGTTCAGTCTCTTGTAACATGGTCTGTGATTCAGCTTCATGTATGTCATTGCCAAAGTACATGCCAGAAAATACAGAAGAGTGCTTGCAGTGGCGTGGCCAAATGGATTTCCTTCAATTTCCTTTTCCAAATATAAAATAATAAAGTAGAAATATGTTCACTTTTTATGTACTGGAAATATATATATTAAAATGCATTTTGTTCTCACAGGCCCCACGGCCTCCCAAACAACCAAACGTTCAGGATTTTCAGTTTTTTCCACCACGTTTGTTTGAACTGCTGGAGAAGGAGATTCTTTATTATCGGAAGACAATCGGTTATAAGGTAATTCTTTAGAAAAATTTTAGATATGATAATAAGATCTTAAATTAATGTTATCTGTTAATCATTGACTAGAAGCTGTCTCAGTTAAATGGAAATCAAAATAGTGGTGGTTTTAAAACCAAAGAGGGGTTTTTAGCTAGACGTAGAGCATTAAAACTGCTGAGTTATGAATAGGATATCACTGAAAGTGATTACTGTAGAATTATCCAGTATTTCAAAATAATAATAAAAATTTAAAAAAAATCTTATTTTGATACTATTCATGCTTGAATGGTCGGAGTATATGCAGAAAGAAAAATATGTATGTGCTTAATTACAAGTGGATGTGTGACATGTGGTAGAAACAACTTGTTTTTAACATTTTTCCTTTTTTATTATTAATTTTAATGAATGTTTACAGAGACTTTGGATTTCCATTCATTCATTGTTGCATTTTTCTCCCTGCCCACATCTCCCCTCCCCAATTCACTCTTCTCTTTGAAAAAAGAAAAATTCTTTAATTGGTATACAATCCCCCTCCCCTCCCAGTACACTCCATAATACCCAATCATATATAATTTTTAAATGATTCTCTCCCTCATATGTTTCAATGCAATATACATAGTTTATCTAATTTTTCTCAGTCTCACCCCAACCCTGATGTCAGTCACATTCAACAGTGGCACTATGCAGTATTTATCCTTTTGTGACTGAGAGATTTCACTCAGCATAATATCCTCCAGGGTCACCAATTTTGAATAATATTGCATGAGTTCTGTGTTGTAATTGTCTTTTAGAGTGAATGGGAGGGAGTTCTGGGGGGTTCGTTGTTGTTATGTACCCTCAAGTCAGAACTGACTCATAGCTGACCCTCCAGTGGGTTTTCAGAGGCACACAGAGTAGTTGGTGAATTTGAATCATGTGCTTTCGGGTTGGCAGTGCAATTCTTTATCCTAGGCCACCAGAGTTCCCTAAAGGAATTGTGCTGCCAACTCAAAGGTATGAGAGTTAGAATCCACCAGTTGCTCCATAAGAGAAAGATGAGCAGTCTCCTCCCATGTGATTAATTGCCTCTGAAAACCTGCTGGAGGATCAGCTGTAGGTCTTTTCTCACTGGATGGTACACAACAACAACAGTGAGTGGAGAGAAAGGAGCAGTGGTATATTAACCAGTAATATAAACAAAAATAATCAGAATATTAACATACTTGTGACTCTGTGCATTATCTGAATTGGAAGTTGTAAAATGGTTTAAAATTTATTTTGTGGATGGCTATCACAGTTAGAAAGGCATATGATTTGTTGCCATTTTATTTAGTAGCTATGAAATGCTTGGAAAAGCTTCACATATATAAGGTAGGTGTGTAATTCATTTGTATTTTTTAACTAGAGTGGCTCTCCAGAGTGTTTCTTCTGCCTGTCCAGAGTGGGAGCCCTACTGCTTGAAACAGCAAAAGCCTTGCTTCCTCCTTAAGGAAAAAAAACACACATATGAATAAGAACAGGAAATGTGAGGTTAACTATCATCTAGTTAGGGAACTGTGACTAAATTTGAATGTGTTTTAAAAAACAGAACTGGATAAAATTCCTTCTGAGGAAGTTACAGTGAAGTAATATAGTCTTAGTTGAACCTTCAGACCAAGCATAAAACTAGCTTTAAAGAAAGTGAAAGCAGTGCTGTACCAGAAGAAATAGATAAGTTATAGATTCAAACCACGAAATAAAAATGATAAAATGAATAATAAAGTAGTTAATAAGATTTCATGAAGTGAGCAAATCTATAGTATTAAGCTTTGCAGTAATTTTAAGATTATTCTTTCTGTTCCTTTTATTGATTTTTGTGAGATTTGAAAGGAGAATTAATCAAAATATTTGACCTCAGGTAGTAATAAATCAAATAGGTAGAACGTTTTATAATTTGCAAAATCCTTTCATTCACGCATACCTCTAACAGATTCCTAACAATTCAGGTAGGGTAGGTGTTATTACCACCTCCATATAATAAGTGAGGAAACTGAAGTTCAGACAAGTTCAATGATTTATTCAGGGCCACATAGTTCAAAAGATTGTCATGGGTGCTGATCTTGAACCAAGGTTCTCAATATTTCAATGCTATACTCTTTCCACTCATCTGGACTCGTTCTGCATGTGATAGAACCCTGCCTTTTCCTGCAGCCCCAAATAAACTGCCTGTTTTTACAGTGGTGTGACATGTCATTTGGGAAGTAGGCCAACTGGGATTCAAGTAGCAGCAATAAAAAATCACCTCTGATGATATAACAGTTTCTGTTCTCTTGCTAGAGATAGAGATTGTGTGCCTGTGGTAATTACAGTGCTCACCACAGCCTGGCCACAGCTCTGGTTTTAATGTACACACTGCCTTTTATTAGAAGCAGTTTGTGGTTAGAGGTGACAACTACAATGACTGGTTGGGTGGTGGCCAACTGGGAAGAGGAAACCTCTGAAGAGGTGGTAACCAAAGGGGGGCACCTGTGAAGGGTGATAGGAAGAAGCAGAAGGCAGAAGATAGAAGAAAGGGATGAACGGAGGCGATGGAAGATGGTTGGAATTCTAGCTACTGTTTTCTATTTTTTGTTTCTGAGAAAGGAACCAGGAGAGGGAGAATGAGAAGAAGGAGAACTCTTGTGCTAAAGACCTCTTTACTCCTCCGTGCCATGCAAAAATGGCTGTAAATCATAACAGTCATAAAAATTGGCTGTACAAACAAAAAAAAAAAGAAAGACAAAAAATTATGGCGGTACACTGACAGAACTCCAGAAGTTCATGCTGAGTTTAGAAGAGGCTGTGGCACCAGGGCTATCATTGCTGATGTCAGACGGATCCTGGCTGAAAGTAAAGAATACCAGAAGAATGTCTGTTTATGCTTTATTCACTATACAAACATGTTTGACTGTGTGGATCATAACAAGTTATGGTTGACATTGAGAAGAATGGGGATTCCAGAGCACTTAATTGTGCTCATGCAAAACCTATCCCTAGACCAGGAGGCTGTTGTGCAAAGAGAGGAAGGAAACACAATGTGGTTTAAAATTGAGAAAGGTGTGCATCAGAGTTGTATCCTTTCTCCATACCTATTCTCTCTGTGGTGAGCAAATTATTTGAGAAGCTGGATGTGATGAAGAAGAATGCAGCATCAGGATCAGAGGAAGATTCACCAACAACCTGTGTTATGGAGAAGACACATCCTTGTCTCCTAAAAGTGAGGAGGACTGGAAGCACTCGGTGCAGAAGATCAACGACTACATGGATCGTTTCACCACCGGGCACATAGATGACATCATGATAGAGGGAGAAAAGATTGACATTGACAATGATTTCATCTTATTTAGATCCTACAATCAGTGTTCTTGGCACCAGCAGTCAAGAGATTAGGAGCCATTTTGCATTGACAAAATCTACAGTCAGAGTCCTGTACATATTACTGAGGAGCAATGATGTCGGTTTGAAGACTAAGGTGTGCTTGATTAAAGCCATAGCTTTTTAAATCCCTTTTCCTGTGTCTCACAGTTGGACAGTGAATAAGGATGACGGAAGACCGATTGATGCCTTTGAGTTATGGTGTTGGAGAAGAGTATTGAATATCCCATGGACTGCCAAAAGAACAAATAGATAGGTCTTGGAGAAAGTGCAACCAGAATGCTCCTTGGAGGCAAAGATGACAAAGCTTTGTCTCATATACTTTGGACAGGTTGTTAGAAAGAGGCTATTCCTTGGAAAGGGATATCATGCTAAGGTAGAGGGTCAGCAAAAGAGAAGAAGACCCTCAGGGAGGTGGGTTGGCACAGGGTAACAGTGTGTTCAGGTAAATCTGAGATGATGAGGATGGACAGGATTCAGATCTGTTGTTCACAGGGCTGCTACAAGCTGTACTTGACAGCACTTAACAATATCCACCTTTGTGCCATGTTCTGTGCCAAAACTAGAGATATTGTAGTGGGTAAGACAGGCTATGATCTCTCCCCTTGTGGCGATTTAATGCAAGAGACGGACATGAAACAGCCCAGTGTATTCCATGATTTGTGAGGTTACTTACAAAGGATGCTCTGAGGGCGTCTAACATGAATGTCATGGCTGACTGGCAGATCAGAGATGTTTCCCTCATTAACTGTCATTTGAGCTGAGGGCACAGAGTTAAGTAGGACTCAACCAAATGAAGGCTCAGAGAGAAAAACTCAGGCAGTTAGGAACCAAATGTATAGAGACATTGATACAAAGAGGAGGATGGCCTCTTCAGGAATGGAAAGGAAGCCGTGGGTGCTGGAGAAGAACATTGAAGTGAGTGGGAAGAGCCAGATATGTAGAACCTTTATTAAAAAACAAAACAAACCCATAGCTGTCAAGTTGATTCTGACTCATGACAACCCATCTGTTAACAGAGTCAAACTACCCCATAGGGTTTTCTTGGCTGCAGTCATTACAGAAGGGGCCCTAGATACATAATGGAGTGTTGAGCTGCTATCCACAGGTCACTAGTTCAAACCCACCAACTGTTCCATTGGGGTGGGGGGATGAGACGGTATGCTTTTACAGAGATGTACAGTCTCAGAAATCCTATCGGCGGCTCTACTTTGTGCTACAGCAGGGTAGCTTAGAGTTAGAACAGATTAAACAGCAGGAGATCTGGACTCTTTATGGAGGCAGATCACCAGGCCTTTCTTTCTTGTGCTGTCAACATTGTGGTTGGATGCAAATGATTCACACCACTGAAGGACCCTTATGCCTTTCTAGGTCATGTTAGTGAGGTTGGATTTTATATTTAGAGCAAAGAAAAAGCATTGACATGTGTTTAAAGCAGAGGAGTGCGTGGGTGGTGAAACAATGATGATAATAATAGAAGCTACTTATTTAGTCCTTACTTGTTAAGTTCTTTGTAAATGTTAACTCCTCCTCCTCCTAACAGTCTGGAGTGACAGACTTCACATTTTAAAGACGAGAGCACTGAGGCACAGAGAGGTTGAGTCATTTGCTCACTATCATGCACCTTAGAGTATTAGATTTCCATTCGTTCTGGTTGCTATGCAGAGAATGGGAGGCATTTATCCAGGGAAATGGATTATGAGGCTGTGGAAATAGTGGGGCAAAAGAAGTTGATGGACACTCAGACTGTAGTATTGATGGCAGTAGAGGGAGAAGCAGTCCCCTTTCGGCCTTTTCCTTTTGTCACTTCCATCTTGAGTCGCCTCTACATTCTCTTCACATTCGCTTTGATCCTCCCTGTACATATTCTTTTTTTTTTAGAATTTACAAGACACATAGAAATACTACTTTCTGGCTGTTCTTTCTGTACCTCAAGCCCACTGTTTCAGTCAACACTGTAGCCACACACTTTGGATTTCTTGCTTGTGATTCTTATTTCCATTCATCCTTCTCTCCTACCCCTTCCTGCTTTGAGAGCTTTATCCCTCCACAAATGCTGCCTTTAAAAAAAATAAATAAACACCCACGAAACCCCTTTATATATTTACTCTAGGGAGTGAATGCCTTTCTGGTGGTAGTATTAATTTTAAAGGCCTGTCCATTTGGTTGGCTGAAAGTTGCCCATGGAGGTGAATCTTGTTCCAGGTTCGAAGGGTGACTAGGAGTCATAGTCTCAAGGGTTCCACTAGTCTCTTTCAGACTTTTAAACGTGGTCATTTTGAAGCTGTTTAATTTTGTTATGCATTTTTCTCCTAAGTAAGACCTTCTGCTGTGATCTCTAATATCATAGTTCATATGGTAATTGGTGTTTTTAGATATTTAATTATTTTTACAATTGTGATTTGAGTGAAAGCAAACACATTTTCCATTAAATAAAAAAAAAATTGTAACTCCCAAACTTTTTGCTTATGGTAGGATTGAAAATTGTTATATAGCATTGGTGCTGGGAATAATGGTATTTATTATTCAGTTGTTACCGAATATTACATCATTGTAGAAATAACACATTGTTCTATATTATAACCAAAATCTAGACAACAATGTAGCATTTATTATGTATTTTAGTTCTCCAGTATTCTGTACAGTTTTTAAGAACGGAGTTTGTTGTGGCAGTAATCATGGTAATAGAAATACAGTAAGGACCATGTGTTACTCTGGTATGACATTGATTTTATGGTTGTAAATATCTAATTCTGAAGATTGATATGTATGCGTGTATGCATACATAAAGAATTTTAAAACTTTTAATATTTGAAAAAGAATTTGAATTTAATAATGAATTTTAAAACTTTAATATGTGAAAAAGAATTTTAATTCATTAATAACTCTCCTATTGATTTATAGGTTCCAAAGAATCTTGACATTCCAAATCCAGTGATGGCTCAAAGAGAGGAACAAAAAAAGATTGATGGGGCTGAACCTCTCACAGCAGAAGAGACTGATGAAAAGGACAAACTTCTCACCCAAGTAAACCATTTTAACTGCCTGAAGTACTTCTGGCTAACCACTGTTGTTGTTAGGTGTCATTGAGTTGACTGTACAGCTCATAGCAACCTTTCAAACAGATCTGAACCCTGTCCTATCCTGTGCCTTCCTCACAATCACAGTTGAGCCCATTGTTGCAGTCATTGATTTGTCTGTCTCATGAGGATCTCCCTTTCTTTCTCTGACTCTCCACCTTTCCAAGCATGATAGCCTTCTTAAGGAAGGGCCCCTCCTAACAACATACCCAAAGTATGTGGGATGAAGCTTTGCCATTCTTGCTGCTAAGGAGCATTCTGGCTGCACTTTCTTTTCTTTTTTTAAATTCCGCCCCCCACCCCCACCCCTTGTTGTGTACTATCGAATTGGATCCAACTGGCACAGGAGGAGATTGCCCCGCCTTCTCCAGCAGAGCATCTGGTGAATTTGAACTGTGTGCCTTCGGGATTGCAGTGCATCTTCTCTGCCACTAGGCCACAAGAGTTCCTTCTGGCTGCACTTTCTTTAAGACATACCTCTTTGTTCTTTTGGTAGTCCATTGAACACTCAGTACTGTTCTCCAACATCACAACTCAAAGGCATCGATTCTTCTTAGTCTTCCTAGTTCATTGTCCAGATCTCAGATGCATAGCAAGTGATTGAAATAGAAAAGAGAAAATACAGATGGCATTTAACCTTTAAACATTTTTTTTCTACTGTGGTAAATAACTATATATGTGTGTATATAGGTACATATTTACCATTGTCGTCGTTAGGAGCGGTTGAACTGACTATGACTCATAGTTACTCTGTTAACAATGGATTTAAACCTTGACCAATCCTGTGCCCTCCACATCATTTTTTATATATTCCAGCCCATTGTTACAGTCACTATGTCAGTCTTGTTTAAGGTCTTCCTTTCTTTCACTGACGTTTCCAAGCTTGATGTCCTTTTTTTAAGGACTGGTCTCTCTTGACAACATACCCCAAATGCAGGAGATGAAGTTTCACTATTCCTTGTCTCCGTGGAGCACCCTGGCTACCATTAGCATTTGCCAATTCAACACTTTTTACCTGGAAAGTTAGTTTTCATTTTATAAGCCTAGTAATCTGATTTGGTGCTCCAATGAAATGAGGGCTGTTTGCAAACACATGTTTAAATCTCTTTTATAAAAGCCTTTTATAGAATAAACTTTTTTTAATGTATTTTTACTATCTGGCCAGTATACATTTGAATCTTGGTAGACAGTAGTTACATATTCTTGGAAATTTAAAATTTAAAATTGTCTTTATTCATTTATTCAAATTCTCTCTTTAAGTTGTAGCCAACAGTTTTACTTTGAGAATAATTTAGTAGTTCTTAAAATGTTATTTATTATTTCATGGAAAGAATGGTAATGCAACTATGAAAGATTACTGAAACTTTTTAAAGGTGATTATGGTATAATTAAGTCATTGTCATCAAGCCATTTCAGGTTCATAGTGACTCCTCGTGTTAGAGGGTGGAACAGCTGTATAAGGTTTTCTTCACTGCAATCTTAGTAGAAACCAATTGCCTGACCTGTCTTCTGGGCTCAAACTGTCAGTCTCTAAATTAGCTTAAGTAGAAGCTATTTGCCTAACTTAGGGGCCTATATTTAGCTTAGTGGTAAAGAGTTGTGCTGCCAACCCAAAGGCAAGTGGTTTGAATCCACTAGCTGCTCGTTGGGAGAAAGATGGGCAATCTGTCTCCTCCTGTAATATTTATTGCTCTGAAAAGCCACTGGTGGGTCAGCTATGAGTCTATCCCAATCCATTACAACAGTATAACAATGGTACATTTCCACAACAGGGGCCCCCACTAAAACAGATAATGTTTCTATTTGAACAAAATATTAATGCCCTTACATTGTTTCAAGGAGGTTTATGAGGACCATCATTCCAAAATAAACTGCAGAAGATAAGATTCAGCATGAAAGACCCTTACATTATAATAAATTATGTATTCTGTGTGATACTTTAGCATAAAAAGTTGCTGGCAAGATTTACGTATTCAACACATTTTTTGAGCCGTGTGCAAAAAGCACATAGTATGATGATATGTTCCACATTAACTATTTAAATGTAGTTTTTGTATTAGTATGTTATTTATTATATAGGTCTTTTCTTTGTTATATAGTTTGTTGAATGAAATTTTCAAAATTACACTTACAGTTTTTTCAGCCAAATGCCTGGAAGTCAAAAAGTTTAATTTGTAGTATAACTAAAGTTGGCTGAAGATTAGGACTTAGTAAGGAATAAAATAACACATTTAAATATTTATGTTTTATTTTCAAAACTCATTTCCACAGAAAAAAGTTCTAGTCTTCAAATGCTGCTTACTTGTAATATATTGTGAAGGGAGAGGATACTGTGAGTATGAAGCCTTAGCCAAGAAATTAGTTTGTCATTAGAAGTAAAATATTTTCTGTTGTTTTCCCTCATAATTCTAGAATGAAATATAATTTAAAATAATCTTTCTTCACTACACCAAACAATCTCTTGAAATACCACAGCAATAAAAAGAAACAAAAGTGGGTTATCTGAAATTTTGATGAACTACAAGAAGCCAGAGACTGCCTTTTGCAGTTTCTGGAGTTTCTCATTTTATGTGGTTTCATACATGAGAATGGATAGCACATTCTTGTGGATTCATAGACTTGCTGTTACTTCCATTGAAGGGTTTTAAGGAAAACACTTTTTGTCTAATCACGTTTGTCTTTTGGTAAAGAAATAGAGTGGGCCTATTCTGTTCATAGAATTTCAATTTAGGAATCCAATTTTTAATAGAAGTTATTTAGTCACAGTAGTTTAAAATTATAAATAGAGATGTAATTTAAAAAAAAAACAACTCCTTTTAAGTATTCCTAAGTGGTTTTGTTTTTCTAGTTCACCTAAAAAGCATCTAGAAGTAAGATATATAAGGACTTAAGCACTTGTATTAACATTCTTATTTTAATGTAGTAGGCATCTATAAAACATGAAATTATAAACCACAGTATCATGGAATTATAAGTCAGTTCTTAGTGCTTGGAAAGAAGACATTCTTCTCCTAATAGAAAAGCAGTTATTTCTATATTAACTCTCAGTCAACAGTTGACTCCAACATAAGAAATCTAAGATTTTTACAAGAAGAGACATTTTAAGTTTTTAAAACAGGTTATATAGTATATCACCAGAATAAGAACAATAATTGGATGTTTTTGTTTAACTTCTATTGATGATACTTAATTTGTTCACAGGGATTCACAAACTGGACTAAGCGAGATTTTAACCAGTTTATTAAGGCTAATGAGAAGTACGGGAGAGATGACATTGATAATATAGCTCGAGAAGTAGAGGGCAAATCTCCGGAGGAGGTGATGGAGTATTCAGGTTTGTATGCATTTTAAAACATGATGTTTTATTTTAACCTTATTCATTTCTTTAGTGCCAATTTAGTTTTTTATTTCATTTTATTAATTTTAATGAACATTTACACAGGTTGTATTTCCATTCATTCATTGTTGCACTTTTCTCCCTGCCCAGCCCTCCCCCCTCCCCACCAGTTCTCCCCTCTCTTTGAAAAGCAAAAGAAACATTCCTTCTTTGGTATACAATCCCCCTGCACCTCTCCCACCGCCCCAAGTACACTCCACTATGCAACCTTAATTCTGGACTCTTGTCATAACCGTAATACCCTATCATATATCACTTTTAAATTATTCTCTCCCTCACCTGTTTCAATGCAGTATACATCATTTATCCAGTTTTCCTCAGTCTTACCCCAACTCTGATGTCAGTCCCATTTTACAACAGTGACACCATGCAGTATTTGTCCTTTTGTGACTGAGATATTTCACTCAGCATAATGTCCTCCAGGGTCACCCATTTTGAATAATATTGCATGAGTTCCTTATTTTTCAATGCAGTGTAGCCAATTTAGTTTTAAATTTCTGAGTAAAATTTAAGTGAGTGTATAAAATTTACTTGTATTTTTCAAGATATAAAATTGGTCAGGTTGTGCTAACTTCTAAAGTCTCTGGTAGTTTGCTAATTGCATCAACTATAGCTAAAGTAAGAGTGGCTATTGGGTGAGCTTTGAAAAATTTATTGTCAGACTTAGTTGGCCCTCTTCTCATCCAGTTCTTGGACTACGTATTCTGTGGTTTACATTGGTGTCTTTCTAGATTGTTTTTGAATCAGAGAATTCCTGTCTGGTCCTTTTAGATGCCTAAACATCTTTAGGCTTTCATTCTATTCTAGAGAGGTCATATGGGTTCCATTAACTTGGGACAAATTGGAATACATATAAAATCTATAAATTCAATGAATTTTTTAAAGGCCCAGTGGTCTCAAAACCGTCTCATTGCTTCATTTAGCTCCATCATGTTATTGACTAGAATTAGGTTATTGTTGTTGTGTGCTGTCGAGTCAGAACTGACCCAAAGCTATCCTCCAGTGGGTTTTATGAGGCACTAAATCTCTCAGGAGATTACCCATCTTTCTCCCACGGAGCAGCTGGTGGATTTGAACCATATACATTTGGATTGCCAGTACAACTTCTTATCACTAAGTCCCTAGAATTAGTTGATGAAATATATGGAAATATTAATTCTCATGTCACAGCATATATCATTTTCTGCTCAGTTCATCACTATCCAGTCGGAACTGATTCATAACTGATCCCCCAATGGGTTTCCAAAGGTGTAAATTGTATGAGAGGAGCTCACCTGCTAGTGCATTTAAGGCACCGGAGAGGCATCACTACCTTTGGGTGCAACTCACTCTGGACTAGGCCATCAAAGACAATGTTGTAAAATAGACTGGTGCTGGAAGAATCAGTATTAGGGGGCACATGCAAACACTAACTGGAAAATAATTAACTATGGCAAATATGCTCTATTAAATATTACTTAAGATAACTTTTTAAAAAAAATAGACTGGTGCTGTCACACGTGCTCCTAGTTTGTTTAATGTAATGACTGAAATTCTGTGTTTTTCTCCAATGAAGAATAGAGTTGAAAGAAACATTACAGTACTGAAAAAGAAATGATAAATTTGTGTTGACCAGGAATAACTTTTTTGTTATTATTATTAATTTCAATGAACATCTGCAGAGATTTTGGAATTCCATTCATTCATTGTTGCACTTTTCTCCCTACCCACTCACCCCCACCCCCTACCCCACATTCGCTCCTCTCCTTGAAAAGCAAAAGAAAAACTCCTTCATTGGTACACAATCCCCCCCCCACCTCGCACATCCCCACTCCCACCCCAAGTATACTCCACTCTGCAACCCTCATTCCGGACTCTTATGATAATCATAATGCCCTGAAATATATTAATTTTAAACTGTTCTCTCCCTCATCGGCTTCAATGCAGTAAACAGAATTTATCCAGTTTTTCTCAGTCTTACCCCCACCCCAATGTCAGCTGACCAGGAATAACTTTTAACTTATCTAGAACGCTAGTGCTTGAGAAAGTCCAACTTTAATTAGAGAATATGTGGAGACTTACTAAAAAAATGTTGTAATTTGAAACTGTCTTCTAGTTATAATAAATGACTTTAGAGTATGCATGTATTCAGTCTTTCATTTAATATAAGGTCAAGTTGATAATTTCCTTTCACTATATATTTGCATAATACAACTAATACTTAAGGAAGCTCTGGTGGTTTAGTGGTAAGAAGTTGCACTGCCACTCCAAAGGAGGCATTTCAAGCCCACCAGCTGCTCTGTGCGAGAAAGATGAGCAGTGTCCACTCATGTGATTTACTGTCTCTAAAGACCCACTGGAGGGTCAGCTACGAATTGGTTCCAATATGTCAACGTCACAATGACCAATATGTAAGCTCAGTAATACAAGTTGAGTACATTTGGGGCTGAGCCATTTTAGCAGCCAACCATTTAATAGCGTTTACAAGGATATGTGTGGAGAAATTTTCTGAAGTGGAATTTACTTAGAGGGTAGAAAGGTGAATAGAATGAGTATGCGTAAAATTATCAGGAACAAAAGGGGGGACAAAAGAGTCCACAATTAAGGTTGCATAGTGGAATGTACTTGGGGTGGTGGGAGGGTGTGGGGGGATTGTGTACCAGTGAGGGAGTCTTTCTTTTAGTTTTGAAAGAGAGGAGCGAACTGGGGGTGGGGGGTGGGGGCAGAGGGCTGGGCAGGCAGAGAAGTGCAGCAATGAATGAATGGAAATCCAAGTTCTCTGTAAATGTTCATTAAAATTATTTAAAAAAAAACCGGAAGGGGGGGAAATGGGGCATTAAAAAACATTTCTCATCAGATGTGCCCTCAGAGTGGACAGTAGGCCAGATGTCATGACTGGCTCAGGACAGTTAAATTGCTGTCTGCCACATGGAAATGGTTTTATGCGATACGTTGTAGTAGTTGAAGAAACATGTACCAAGTAGCTCTTTGTGAGTGTGAAGTACTTTATACATAGCAAGCACCTCATGTGTTAAATGATTAAGTAGACTAATAAATGAACACAAGTTCTTGTAAAAATCAGCAGCTGCCAGCATAAATGTCTTGGTAGGCTTTAAAAATGAAAAATTTGGCAAGGTAGAGTATGTCATTAAAAGACCTTCACTGAAATGACAAGTTGTTTCATATTAATGCAAACAGATTATTTGGCTCATTTGTAAAAGTTAGTTAGCTGGCTGGAAACTTTTAAATATTCTTCTGTATCAATGCCTTTGCATTGTGCTGCTGGGGAGGAGGATTGAACATATACCATGGACTTCCAAGAGAACACACCTTTCCTGAGGAGGGTGAAATGAGGTTGCTCCTTGGAGGCTGGGATTTTGAAGCTCTGTCTCCATTCTTTGGGCATGTTGCCAGGAGGGCCCAGTCATTAGAGAAGGGCATCATGCTTGGAAGGGTGGAGGGACAGCACAGGACAGGAAGACCCTGGATGAGATAGACTGGCTGTGGCAATGGGGTCTGGTGTGTCGGAGACAATGAGATTGGCTCAGAATAGGGCAGGGTTCAGAGTCATTGTTCGTAGGGTTGCTTTGAATCATAGTCAACTCATGGCACATAATGACAACATTTGTCTCTAATTTCAAGTCCTGTTGAAGCTGTGAGTGTGTGTATTTAAGAGAAAAGGCTAAGTCAAGTAAGTTTAAAAACACACCTAGGACATTGGAAATACTGTAAGATTAGCATGTGGTTCCAAAAAGCAAAGTGTTGATTTCTTGTTTAAATTGTTGTTTCATAGGCAGGTTTTGAATGGCAGAAGTTTTATTTTTGCTTTTGTTTGACTAGAAGATGTATTCTCTATGTTTATATGATGCTACTCTCTGTCTCGTTTCTCTTTCTGTTTGGGCCATTTCTGTATCATGTTTATATAGAAGAAAAGCACACTTTACATCAATACCTGTAATAGCTTTGGAAGTCCTAATCATTTTGGATAGATAATTAAACATTCTCTGTTGTTGTTGTGTGCCATCAAGTCGGAACTGACCCATGGGTGACCCTACAGTGGGCTTTCACCGAGAGCCCTGGTGGCTTAGTGGTAAGAAACTGTGCTGCGTAATCGGAAGCTGTAGTTTGGATTCACCAGCTGCTCTGTGGGAGAAGGATGGACATTCTCCTCCCTTACAAATTAACTGCCTTTGAAAACCTGCTGGAGGACCAGCTATGAGTCGATTTTTGGGTCAATGATACACAACAACAACAAACATTCTATATGTTGTTCAAATCCACCAGCTGCTCTGTGGGGGAAAAATGAGCTTCCTCTTCCCATATGATTTACAGCCTCTGAGTTTGTTCCAGCTGAATAGCAATGAACTGAATTGAGTCGATAGCATTAAATGAAAACTTTGCTAAAGTCTTATTTTTAAAATGAAAATTTAGGGCTTTTTAATAATTGACTATGATATATATACACACAATTGAATCTGAATCTTTGCTTTGTTATTTATCCTTAAACTTTGTTGGATTCATTAGACTGAGAAGCTGATAATTTGAATTAACTGTTTTTCAGCTGTATTTTGGGAACGCTGCAATGAACTACAAGACATTGAGAAAATTATGGCTCAGATTGAACGTGGAGAAGCAAGAATTCAACGAAGGATTAGTATCAAGAAAGCCCTGGATGCAAAAGTACAGTATTTCATAATTGTCACATAATTACTACGGTTGTCTAAATTGTTACAGTAGTTGACTTTGAGTTACTCTTATTGCCCATTCTGTTAAAAGCACTATCTGATTTAAATACACAGATTGCAAGATACAAGGCTCCATTTCATCAGTTACGTATTCAATATGGAACCAGCAAAGGAAAAAACTATACTGAGGAGGAAGATCGATTCTTGATTTGCATGTTACACAAAATGGGCTTTGATAGAGAAAACGTGTACGAAGAATTACGACAGTGTGTGAGAAATGCTCCCCAGTTTAGATTTGACTGGTTTATCAAGTCTAGAACTGCAATGGTATGTATTCATTTCCTCCAATTTTTTTAAAAGAATTGTAAACCTAAGAAAAGTTGAATGAATGATATGACAAACACCATACCTGGATTCTCCTATTGTTAACATTTTGCCACTTATGCTTTCTATCTGTTTCCTCTTCTGTTCCTGTTTGGGCTTGTGCGTGTGTGCGTGCACGCACACGTACACACACATGCACGTATTTGTGGAGGGTGGGTGGAGAAAGAGAAAGCGAGAACCCTGAGGGTGAAGTGGTTTATCACTTGACTTCTAACTGTAAAGTCACCAGTTCGAACCAACCATCCACTCTGTGGAAGAAGAGACTTTGTTAACTCCCTCTGTAAAGATTACAGCCTGAGAAAACCAGTTCTAATTTGCCATAGAAGGTCACCATGAGCCCGAATTGACTCAGTGGTACCCATCATATGCACATAGAATCATATTATGCATTAAATAGATAACATTTATAGACTATAATAATAAATATAGGTCTATTTTTGAACAAGCTATCTACAGTACTTCAGCATGTATTTCCTCACAATTGTGGATGTTCTCCTTCGTAACTCTAATACCACTGCTCACCTAAAAATATTAACTCTGATTCTATATGTTATTTCGTATATAGTTCATATGTAAACATTTTCAGTTGTTCCCAAACTAAAGCTGCTTTATTTTTAAAAATTGAGTAGTTATGTCCTTTTAAACTCAAACTCATTGCTGTCAAGTTGTAACTGACTCGTAACTGACTATGTAGCAAGTTTTCCAAGGCTGGAAACCATGCAGGAAGAGAAGAGATTGCCTATCTTTCTCCCAGGGAGCAGAAGGTGGATTTGAACCACGTGCCTTTGGGTTGGCAGCACAGCTCCTTATTCAGTAGGCCACCAGAGCTTTCGTCTCTTTTTTAATCAGGAATTTTTTCCCGTCTGTTAGGTTTTCTTTTTTGTAACAGTGAATTTTTTGATGTTTTCAGGCCAGCTATCTTGAACTGTGTCCTTCATTTTTTTTATTTGGTGTTAGGTTCAGGCCAGATGTATTTATAAAGACTGCTCCATTGGTGATGCTGGGTATTCATTGTGACACGTTAGGTACATTATGTTGGGTTGGGACACTCACTGGGGATGCTAAGTTTGATCATAGGATAACTGTGAGCATCAGAGTTATCCACTGTAAAGGTACATTTTTTCCATTGTGATCAGGCAGGTAGTGCATGAGACTGTTTGACTGACGTAAGCCATTTATTTTTAATTAGAAAGAAATTGTTGCCTGTGTTGAATCTTTTAAAAAAATATTCAGAGGAGAATAATTTAGCAGAAGAGCCATTTTATTTTCGCCTCCAACAATTTACTTAATTACTTTCTAATATGAACTGTGCTCCTCTTAAATTCTAGTGTTACCTAGTAGTGTTATCTCCTGCTATTGAAATAATTGCAATGCGTTTTTAATTTTGACTGGTCAGTCTTTTGTGAGCCAGGGTCATTAATACAAAAAAACAGATTTATGCAGTCTAAAAATGAAAAGTAATAAAAGCTTAATGATTTAAATAATGGTTTTGTGGTTAGTTATTAAATCGGATACCTTTTTCTTAAATACTTTTGTTGTTGTGTGCTATTGAGTCGGAACTGACTCATAGCTGACCTTCTAGCAGGTTTTGAGAGGCAGTAAATTGCACAGGAAGAAATGGCCCAGTCTTCTCCCATTGTGCAGCAGGCTGTTATGTGGCGACGAGTCGCTTGTGGCTCATAGCAACCTTATGTACAGCAACCTTGAACCCTGCTCTATCCAGTGCCAACTTGACTGTCCCTGACACACACCTACACCCATTACCCAAGTCACTGTATCAATCCATCTCATCAATGGTCTGCCTCTCTTCGTTCCTCCACCCTCCCAGGCATGATGTCCCTCTTCAAGGACTGGTCCCTCCTTGCAGTATGCCCAAAGTATGTCAGATGAAGCCTCAGAATCCTTGCCTCCAAGGAGCAGCCTGGCTTCATCCCTTTCTAGGACGAACCTGTTTGTTCTCCTGGCAGTCTGTGTAGATTCTTAAATACTACTTGCAGTCCATTTTAAAGAAATAAAACAACACTGAGTATTTTATTTGACTATATTTTCAGTACAAGTTTAATTAAAAGGCAAAAAAAAATGAGTTGCTATGCTAAAGGCATTAATATCGTAGATGCATTAGAAGATCATATCTTTGTTAAAATGTTAATACAAGTTTAACATATTTGGATTATAAACATTAGACTGTGTCCATCGAGTTTATCAATTACATAATGTTGAAAGCGCTAGCTAACATTTTGGATTGAACTGGGATCCAAAAGGAACTGGGGCACTTGGGTCAATCAGCATGATTGTTGACCAGGGAGGAGGTGTAAAGTCCTGTAGTTGTACAAAAGAATAGGAAGGATGAGGAAAAGAATGAACAGAAACAAAACTTAATCTGTAGCATATGGATTGAAGTTAAATGTAAGGAAAAACAGTTTGACAGAGTTATATGCATCATTGAAATAGATTATTGAGAAAGGATGCAGAATACCTTGTTCTCTTAGCCTTAAGCAGTGAGATTCTCTTTTTTTTACTATCTCTGACAGTGAATTGTTAGCCTTTTAAGATGCCTTTTAGCTCAGTGGCTCTTGTTAGCAAAGAACTCTTCTTAGAAGCTATGCATTGAAAATGTTCAGCCATATGGGCATCTGTGCACGTAATACTATAATTTAGAGCAGTAGCATTAGTTTGTAAATTAAAAGATGGCTTCCCTGCATGTTAGTGAACTGAGTTTCACATTATACATTTATGTGATGCAACATTAATTGAATTTTAAATTTTGTTTCAGTGATAGTTTCCTAATTGTTTTTGAAAACATGGAGAGTTTAATGCCATTTTCAGTTTCCATAATTATTATACTAAAGCGCTGGAAACGAACAAGATTCAAAACTGCAAGGAAAATCTTCAACTGTCTTTTCTACAAAAATGGGTGTGCTTTATGAACAACCACTAGATGTCTCTAAATACCCTCCCAAAGAATTTGTTTTCCACCATCTTTCTTTCTATAGCAGCTCTTTGTTTTTACCAGAAGATTCAATTTAAATCTCTAATGCATATTTTCCAAAGAGCAGATATAAACTATGTATGTCGTGTGTGTGTGTGTGTGTGTGGTTTAATCTAAGGCTAATTGTAATTTATTTTGTCTGTTAGAAACAGAGACACCTCTGATCTTAATTAGCGTCTGCAAAGTGGAATTTATGATTTTTAAAGAAGGAATGTTTAAAACCATATATTATAGTTGATTTTGTATTTCAGTATTTTAATTGAAAGTGTTTTTGTTTCTTCATTTGCCTTTTTTATTCACTTTGGATTTCCCTCCCAGTTAATGGGTAATTTTGCCTATATTTCTGGATGTAGAGTATTGTTGTGTGCCATCGAGTCACCCACAACTCACAATGACCCTACTCTTTGAATCCTACCCTGTCTCACTGAACCAATCTCACTGTTGCTGACACACCAACCCACATTGCTGTAGTTACTGTTTCAATCCATCTCATCTGGGTTCTTCCTCTCCTACACTGTCCCTCCAACTAAATATGATGTCCTGCTCCAGGGACTGATCCCTCCTGGTCATGTGCCCTACATATGTGAGACAGAGCTTTAAAAGCCTTACCTCCAAGGGAAATCTTGGTTTAACCCTCTCCTATTTGTTCTCTTAGAGGTCTGTGATATGTCAGTATTCCTTCGATTCTTCTGTCATCCTTAGTCATGTGTCAAGCTCTCTGATGCATAGCAAGTAATTGCAAAGATCATAGTTGAATCAGGCACACCTTAGTCCCTAGACTGACTCACTACTCTTTAGCACTTTTGAGAGGTCCTTAACAGCAGACATCCCTAGTTCAGTTTATTTACCTCTTGATTTCCTGACTGCTGATACCAAGAGTGTTGATTGTGGAGCTGATCAAGCTGAAATTGTTTACAATCTTAATCTCCTCTCCATCTGTCATGGTGCTGCCATTTGGCCCAGTGGTGAGAATCTTTGTCTTCTTGATGTTGAGCTTCAATCCCTATTGCAGACTACAGTCCTTGACCTTCTGCAGAAAATGTTTCAGGTCCTCCTCAATTTCAGCAAGCAAAGTTGTGTCATTTGTTTAACGCAGGTTTTTGATGACTTTTCCTTCAATCCTGATGCCACATCAGGACTCATTATTCAAGAAAAAAAAAGAAAAAAATCTGTGCAAGTATAGAGTATAGGTAATAGATTTAAAAATATGTATATATTTTAATATTAGAGTTTCATGGTAATTAATTATAAAACTAGAATCTTGCTCAGAGCTTCTTTTCTTTCCTAGAGACTTCTCATAAACCAAAAACCCCAAACTCTTTGCCCTGGAGTTGGAGCCAACTCATAGCTGATGCTTCACTTAGTTTTCCCAGGCTGTAAGTTACATAGGAGGAAATTGACTTTTTCTCCTGAGTTGCTGCTGGTGAATTTGAACTAGTTACCTTTATGTTAGCAGTACAACTCTCTATGGACTGCACCATCAAAGCTCCCTTGTTGTTTTTTTAAGAGCCTTCAAATCAGTGCTAATAATGACCCTATGCATAACACAATAAACCCTGATTCTCTGCCTTCCTTACAATTTCTGCTGTGTTTAAGCACCATTGTTGCAGTCACATCTTGTTGAGGGTCTTCTTTAATTTCTGAGCATAACATCTTTTCCAATGTCCAGTGTCTCCACCCCTAGATAACATTATGAATGTCTGGGAGATGAAGTCCCACCATCCTTGCTTCTAAAGAGGATTCCCATTCCACTTCTTCCAAGTCAGATTTGCTATTTGGACAGTCCTGGTATATATAATACTTGTCGTCAGCACTACAGTTCAAAGGCACCATGTGAAAATACTATGCCTTGGGTCAGGGGCATTCTTGCCCTTTAAACTTCTCAAGTGTTCCTTGACATCATTATTTGCCCGGTGCAATATATCTTTTGATTTTTTTTTTTTTGACGGCTGCT